CTGGACGCCCGAAATGGGTACGAAAACAATGGATACAATGCCGAACAACAAATGCCGTCCAAAACCAACAGCGGCCGCTGTTGCGCAGGCGCCTGTCCGTCTTCAAAGAACAACGTCCGCGGCGGCGGGAACAGCGAGTCCTGTTCAAAATGAACCAGAACTGCTGTTGGGCACTGTACCCATTCTTTCCATGCCCGCTCCGATCGTCCCGATCCTTGGTGCATCCTACGCTTACTCCGGTCCTCCTCTTCCTTCTCCCGCCTCCCCTTCCCCCTGCTCCTCCTCAAGCCGCCCTCCCTCCCGACCCCACTCCCGCCTTCCCCCCACTTCCGCATCCCCTCGCACCTCCCCTCGCGCCTCCTCCCCCTCCTCCTCCCCCTCCCCCTCCTCCTCCTCCTCCTCCTCCTCCTCCTCCTCCTCCTCCTCCTCCTCCTTCTCGTGCAAAAATAGCTCCTCCCTGTCGCACCCCGAGGCTGGTCGACAGGGCGGGCCAGGCGTTCCGCTCGAGACGTCCTCACCTTTTATGGTCCTGAAGCTCAAAGTTTTCACCGCTAGAGGGTGGGTCGTTTTCAAAACGTTGCCCTCGCCCGAGCGCCGCGCACATCCGCATTGATGAGCACGATCTTCACGGATGGAGGGCGGGTCGTTCTCAACATGTGGCTCTCTCCTCAGCGCCGCACGCATCCGCCTTAGAACATGCAAGAGTTTCACTGATGGATAGCAGGTCGCTTTCAATATGTGGCTCTCGCCTTGGCTCCGCGCAATTTCGTCTTTAAAAATTCAAGGAGTTTCACGGGTGGAGGGCGATTCCTTTTCAATATATGGCTCTCGCCTTCGCGCCGCGCACATTCGTTTGAAGTGTTCGCAGCCGTTTAAAGATGCTCATGGTTACCATCCCAGTAGAAGGGCTTCGGCTCGATGTCGGATTGTCACGGTGCAGCGGTGACGTTGATGTGTGGTGTTGAAGTCCCAGCAATGGCATCCTGGCACGATTCAGGATCGTCAAGACGCAACACTAGCCGTGACTCACGGCGCTGAAGTCCCAATGATGGTGTGCTGTCATCAAACGGTTCTTTTCCAACGGGGTACTTCCTTCCGTGAGAATAACTCCGTGCAGGGACCTGTGAAGAAAGAACTTGGAAGACGGGCTTATTCCAGCATCGTTGATGAGTCTTGGGTCTGCAACTGTCCTCCTCCTCTTTCCCCACCTCCTCCTCCTGTCTTCCTCCTCCTCCTCCTCCACATAGTCACCATCGTCTTCCTCCTCATCCTCCTCCTCCTCCTGTCCTCCTCCTGTAATCCTCATCCTCCTCCTCCCTCCTCCTCCTCCTCCTCCTCCTCCTCCTCCTCCTAGTCACCATCGTCTTCCTCCTCCTCCGTTCCGCACCCACCTCCGCCCTGTCCTGCGCCTCCCTGCGCGGGCCCTCGGCCACGCCGTCGGCCGCCGCGAGCTGCTCCCGGAGCCGGCCGACCTCGGCCGGCAGCTGCGCGACCTCGCCGTGGCTCTCGCTGGCCTGACGGCGGCAGCGGCGGGTCGAGCATCGAAGGCCGAGGGCTGGTTTGTGCCAAGATTTGTGGGTGGCCCACGAGGGGGTCCAGCTGAGGGGGGGGGGCCATAGATTTGGGAGCACGTGTGTTGCAAATGTGTTGCGCCGGAGAAGTGTATGGCACTGTTTTCCAGGGAATGTCTTGCACGCGAGAGTCCGGCAATACATTTGCGCCCTGGAATGTATTGCGCGCCCCAAATCTATTGCACCAAATCTATTGCACCGCCCCCTTGTCGCTGGACCCCCTTTTGGGTCAATCCGAAAGATGACCGAGCGCTGATGTAGTTGTTCAGTTTGCTGGTTTTCTAGCATCGAAGGTCGAGGGCACGTTTGTGCTAAGATGGCCGAGGGCTGATGCTGTTGTTCAGTTTGTTGCCGTGCTTTTTTTTTGGGGGGGGGGGGGGGCGCAGGGCGGGGCCCGGCGGGCGAACTCGTCGCCACGGGTGGGTTCCCCTCGGGAGCCTGGCCGGGACGCACTCCAGGAGAGAGGCCCCTGGAGCTGGCACCTCGTGCCCCCATGCCTCGGGGCACGAGGTGCCACACGTGACGGCCTCCTGGGCCCCCTCGAACTGGCCATCGCTCGGACGTCCATTCCCTGTGTTTTTGTTGGTTTCGTGCGTGGTTTTTTCGCAGGATGATCCAGGATGCTCCTTAATAATCCCCGCCGAGAAAAAGTGCACACGTACGGGCGATACCAAGCGAACAGCCGCCACGCGAAACGCTGGGCTGGCACGATGGGGGGATTTGCCGCAGGCAGCTGGACGAAGAGCCCTCCGCGCAGACGCCGATCGCCGATCTTGTAAGCTTGTGCTTCTGCATGTGAGCCAGCGTGGACCCCGAACAGCAGCTGATTGCACCGTGGAGGTGAAAGCGTTGCGGAGTAAGCTATGTGGTGCTATCTTTGCTATGTGGTGTGAGCTATGCGGTGTAAGCCGTGCGGTGTGACCTGGAGGGCGTGAGCTACGTTCTGACAGCCGTGCGGTGTGACCCATGTGGTGTGAGTTACGTTTAGGTCGGGCATGTCCCCCTACCCTACAGGGGGATTCTGGAGGAAAAATCAAAAACAGCCAAATACTCAAAACATGTTCAAACATAGCCAAACATAGAACCCAGACTACTTTGTGACTATGTCTTAAGACTCCCCCTGCAGGGGAACAGGGCCGACTTCAAGCCACGTTGACGAAGCTATGTGATGCAAGCTGTGCTGCGCAGGCATTATTTGAAGGGGCCCTGGGACACACAAAGAAATAGACACAAACCACAGGATTCCCCAGATGTGCTCCCATATCTTCTTGGTCTTTGCCTCCCCCCACCAGCTTCCCATATGTTTCCATATCTTCAGTGGAATCGACGACTCATATTTTCCCTGATTTTCCCATATGTACAATATTTTCCATACTTTCCAATATTTTCACATAACTATCTTCTTGGTTCTTGCCTCCCCCCCAGCTCCCCAGATGCTCTCCCATCTCTTCCTTGGAATCGACGACTCCTGGTGTCTGGGTGCTGTTTCCCCCCTCCCTGCATGGTGCCCACCCGTGGCACTGGGGCGCGCGACCTGAGCGCCCACGGGCGGGCACGGGGCGCGCGACACACAACGGGGCGGCGCCTCGGCGCGGAGCCACCCCCAGGGGGCACGAGGGAAGGCGACACCAGCACCAGCAGGGCGAGGAGATGCGCGGAGGCAAGGGGGGTCTACCTGGTGTTATGTCGGGCCTGTCCCCCTACAGGGGGATTTTCGACGAAAAAAATACCCCCAAAATAAACAAAAAAAATACTCCAAAAATAGTCTCGGGGGTTTGAATATTTTTTGTCTATTTTGAATATTTTGGGGGTATTTTCATTTTTTCGTCGAAAATCCTCCTGTAGGGGGACACGCCCGACATAAACCTGGCGGTGTGGTCCCCCCCTCGCGCTCGAGACGTCCCCAGCCTCTCGCTCGGGGAGGCGCCGCGGACCTCCTCGCTGGAGGTGGGCCCCCTGGGGGCGTTGGCATCGCTCCGCCGCCCTCCGAACCCCGGGGCAAGGGGGCGCCCACGGGAAGCCCCCGGGAAGGCCACGGGCGCCAGCGAGGCAAAGGATCCACGGACCCACCCAGGCTGCGGAGGAAACTTCGCGGCGTTCGTTTCTAATCGTGCTCATTTCTGATTGTGCTCGCTTCTAATGGTTCCTGCCCCCTGGTGGCCAGGACGAGGCCGAGGATAGAACAATTCTGAATGAAAGGATCGTGGCCCTCCCAAAAATCCAAGAACTTTCGAATAATTAGAAATGAACCATGTGTAGATCCGCCGAGCCCCGCTTGCCGGGAGTGACAATGCGTGGGAGACAGTTGGCGGCTGTCCCCCTCCCCCTTTCCCCCCTCTCCTGGTGGCAAAAAATGTAAGTTGAGGGGTGTTGGGGGGGAGCACGAGCTCGTCAACGCAGAGGACCCAGACAGAGTGCCAAGACAGTCGAAGAAAACGTCGAGACTGCCTAGAGTATCTCACGACGACCCAAGATGACTTCAAGACGGCCCAGACGGTCCAACAGTGTTCCAAGAGGACTGCCGAGAAGGCCCCAAGCGGTAAACATCGTCCAATTTCCAAAGAGATGCCTACATGTTCACACATTGGCCTTTTTCGTCTTGATAGCTTCTCAGAGTGCCCAAAGGACCCCCAAGATCGTCACAAAACGGCCGATGAACCCCAAGAGGGCCCCAAGAAAACTGAAGAGGGCCCAGAAAATGCCCCAGGGGCCCCCAAGACGGCCCAAGGGCGTCCCAAGAGGGCCCCAAAGGAGCCCAAGAGGGAAATACGAACTGGTATTTCGAGCCTTTTCCCTGAAGATGGCCCCAAGCCCCTCAGAGGCCCCCGAGGCGCCCCAAGAGGCCCCAAGAGGCCTCAGAAGCCAGGCCCCAAGAAGCTTCCCAAATACACCCAAGAGAGCCCTCCAAGAGGACCCTAAGATACATCCCAAGAGACCCTCATACTCACCCAAGAGGCTGCTGACCCACAGCCCAGGCACGGTGGCGGGTTGTGCCACTCGATAACCTACACAATCGTCGCAAGCTCTGACTCCTTCTGGAGGTCGGCGGAATGGCGCGTAAGCCACTCGAAAAAGAAACCTCAGGCGCCTCATGGGGGCTTCAAGGGAACTCTTCGGGGCGGCTGGTCTCAACCTTCCCGAACACTTCCGGCTGTCACCTTCATCATGAGCGTCCTCTTCCAGGGTCGGCGGCACCAGCCGCACGGCCTACACAGTAAGAAAACCGAAACGGCTACACGCAAGAGTGACCCTGGGCAAGAGTGCCCTTCAGTGCGCGGCCAAGGGGGGCCCTTTGGGGACACCACAAGGCGCGCAAGCTGCTTCTATCGCATCGCATTCAGCAATCGGGGGGGCCCCATTGGGCCTGCACAAGAGGTCACTCTGGCGAAAGGTCACTCTTACGCGTAGTCGGCACTAAGCGCAAGCACTGCTTGAGGAACCGATGTGCGGACAATGCAACGGGCCCCTGGGGCCACCGCTGGCCCGCCCCCACACCCTGGCCCCAACGAGGCCGCTGGCCGCGAGATGCCTGGTCCCCCTCCCCCCCCAGCCACACCAGGCCCCGCCGCCCCGACCTTGAGCTCGAGCTCGGGCTCGAGCTCGGGCTCGAGCTCGGGCTCGGGCGGGGCCCTGGAGAGCATCCGGTGGATGGGGCGGGGGGGCAAGCGCTGCGCGCGCGGGCGCGAGGGAGCAGAGAAGCACAGAACGCGCCAATGTCCGCCGGGGCGGCGGGGCCTGGAAGGCCGGCGCGGGCAGGCCTGAGCTCTCCTTTGCAATGGCGGATGCGGTCGACTGGTGGTGCTGTGCCCTGTGCTGCGCACTTGCTGCCTCTAAGCTGGTCCATTCTGTGGCGTTTTGTGCCAGTGCCAGCAAGATTGGGGGGAAGGGGAAGAGGGGAAGGGGGTGGGGGCGGAAAAGTGAGGATGATGAGGAGGAAGATGAGCGATGTGGAGGAAGGCGGATGAAGAGGAGGAGGCTCAGATATGGGTCTCGGCGCCGCGGGCGTAAGGACCCACGCGTCATATCAGAAAGCAGCCCATGCACCGAGCTCGCAAGTCCACCCTGTCTATTCTGAAATACTCTGCGCAGAACCATGGTAGAACAAACGGACGGGGAGGGAATGGAGAGGAGGTGGCAGGAGTGCCAGGCTGATTCTGCAGTAAAAACCTCCTCCTCCTCCTCTTCCTCCTCCTCCTCCTCCTCCTCCTCCATCTCCTGGAGCATCATGGAGCAGCTTGCTGGGCTGGCTCGAGGCCCTCGCACCACCGCACGAGACTTCGAGGGAGCAGGTGGCGGCGGTGGTGGAACGGGGCGACGAGTTGGGAGGAGAGCAAGGGGAGGTGGAGGATAATGGATGCGGGGGGAGGAGAGTGGCGGAGGTTGGGGACGGAGGAGGGCGAATATAATGATGATGATGTTGATGATAATGTTGATGGTTATGATGGTGATGGTGATGATGAAGATGCTGAAGATGAAACTGATGAGGATGCTGATAGATATGATGCTGACGATGATGATGATGGTGGTGATGTTGATGCTGATGAAGATGCGGAATCTGATGACGATGATGATGGTGGTGGTGATTATGATGATACGTATAATGCTGGTGATGGTGATGATGGTTAAGATGATGATGCTACTGTTGCTGCTGATGATGGTGATGATGATGGCGATAATGATGATGAAGAGAAAGAGAACGAACAAGGAAGATAGAGGGGTGGGGGGGCGGGAGGCGGACGAAACCGAAGAAGGGATCGGGGCAGAGGACGCGGTGGCGGAGGCAGGAAGGACCGTGATCTCGCGACCGCGGGCCGGGGGCAAGGAGGGCCCCTCTCGCCCGAGAGCGGGCCTGCGCAGCGGCCTGGCTGGCCTGTGGTGCTGGCGGGTCGGCCTCGGGGAAGGCGCACGGATGGGGACGGGGGGGAGACACGCGTGTGCCGAGCAGGGGGGTGGGGGGGAGAAGGAGAGAGAGGGGAGCACAAGCAGGAGGGAGAGGCGGTGTGCGTGTGTGTATGTGTGTGTGTGCGTGCGTGTGCGTGTGCGTGTGCGTGTGCGTGTGTGCGTGTGTGCGTGTGTGCGTGTGTGCGTGTGTGTGTGTGTGTGTGTATGTGTGTGCGTGTGCGTGTGTGCATGTGCATGTGCGTGTGGGTGTGGGTGTGGGTGTGCGTGTGCGTGTGCGTGCGTGTGCGCGTGTGTGGGTGAACGTATGTGCGTGTGTGTGTGTGTTTGTGTGTGCGTGCATGCGTGCGTGCGTGCGTGCGTGTGTGTGTGTGTGTGTGAAAAAAAGAAAGTGTGTGTGTGTGAATGTGTGTGAATGTGTGTGTGTGCGTGCGTGCGTGCGTGGGTGCGTGCGTGCGTGCGTGTGTGCGCGCGTGCGTGCTTGCGTGCGTGCGTGCGCGCGTCGTCCTCATCCTTCGCCCCCCTCCCTCCCTCCCTCCCCCCCCCACCTCCTCCTCTCCTCCTCCTCCTCCTCCTCCTCCTCCTCCTCCTCCTCTTCCGGCGCGTCGAACAAAGCCTCGTACACGGTCGCCTTCCTTCACGGTCCTCCTGGTCCACCTGAGTCCTGCTCCTCGTGATGCGCCTCTCCCTCCTCCTCCTCATCATCAACCTTCCCCTCTCCGCCTCCCTCCCATCCTCCTCCCTTATCCCCCTTCTCCTCCTGGTTGCTCACACCTCCCCCCTTCATCCTTCACCCCTTTCCCGTCCGTTCCCGGTCCGCCTTCCTTTCTCGTCCATTTTTCTTCGTCCCTCCTTCCTCTCTCCTCCCTCCTCCCGCCCTCCTGTCTCATCCGTCCATCCTCCCTCTTCCTCCCTCCTCGTTCCTCCTCCTCCTGCCTTCCTCCTTCTGATTACTTTCTCCTCCCTCCCCGTTCCTAGTTATCCTTCTTCGGCTTGCCCCCGTCCTCCCTTTCTCTCCTCCGTCCTGCTCCGATTCCCCCTGCTTGCTCGCGTGTCGTCATCCCCTATCATGCATGTTATCCCCCGCGTCATCCTCCTCCTCCTCGTCGCGTGCCTCCTCATCTCCCTGGTTCTTCTTAAATGTGCCCTGGGCATTGTTTGAACTATATCTTCTAATAGAACAATCTCGGCGTGTTGAAGAAAATGATCTTTAGCGTTACTAGGCCCCAGCAAGAGAATGCAGAAGAAACGATCAATGACGATGCATTGCTTTTGCGGATTGGGCTGCGTGTTGGCGTTTCGGGTTACATGGTTGCGCTGTTTCACACGGCCGTCCACCACGTCCTCAATGATTTTCGTCTTGCGTCCGACTCGAAAAGAGGAGGAGGAGGAGGAAGCAATTTTTGCATCGAGCAATGTTTTTGCTCTCCTCCGGTCGTCGCTGCTGGCTGGCCGCGGAGCCTCCCGGGCCTGCTGTCCCGCGCCGGTGTTGCACCGGTGTTCGAGCATTTGTTTTTTGCGCTTCCAGCTTTGCCCCTCCTGCTCCTTGCTCCTCCTCCTCCTCCTCCTTCTGCTCCTCCTCCTCCTCCTCCTTCTCCTCCTCCCCTCCCCCCTCTTCCATCCCCCCCCATTCCCCTCCGTCCTCCTCCTCCTCCTGCTCCTCCTCCTCCTCCTCCTCCTCCTCCTCCACCTCCTCCTCCTCCTCCTCCTCCTCCCCTCCCCCCTCTTCCATCCCCCCCATTCCCCTCCGTCCTCCTGCTCCTGCTCCTGCTCCTGCTCCTGCTCCTGCTCCCTCCTCCTCCTCCTCCTCCTCCTCCTCCTCCTCCTCCTCCTCCTCCTCTCTGCGCGCGGACTGGGGTGAACTGGAGGCAGCAGGAACAAGAGGGCGGGAGCGAAAACGGCAGATAAGGCAAGGAGCAGCCTTGGACAAGAAGCCAAACAACGCCAACAGAAATGAAGATCCACAGCGACGGGCCAGAAAACGCTGAAACAAAAAAACGCAGTGACAAACGCTAAAACAACGTAGCGTTGTTCTAGAAATTCTTTAGCTTGTCTCGAGCCCAGATTGCAAAACGGTGAACCAAAACGCCCAGGGCATTTTGAAGAAGAACGAGCCTCATCTCCATCCTCCTCGTCCTCCTCATGGAACCTGGAACCCGGTGGCGCGAGAAGTCGCCGACTGTTGCCCCCTCCCCCTTCCTCCTCCTCCTCCTCCTCCTCCTCCTCCTCCTCATCATAATCACAATCAGCATCATCATCATCATCAGCACCGGACCATCATCATCATCAGCAGCATAACAATCATCACCATCACAATCATCAACATCAGCATCGTCATCATCAGCATCATCATCATCATCAGCATTATCATCATCATCATTATCATCAGCATCATCATCATCATCGTCATCATCATCATCATCAGCATCATCATCTTCATCAACGTCGTCATAATCATCATCAGCATGATCGTCATCATATTCATCACATTCATCTTCAGATGCATCATCATCAGCTTCACCATAGTCAGAATCGGCATCTCCATCATCATGTTCTTCATCATACTCGTCATCATCTTCATCATCACCATCATCACCATCATCAATCATCATTATCATCATCAGCATCATCAGAATCGTCCTCTCCCCCAACATCCAACTCCCCCACCTCCCCCTCGCTGCTCCTCGCCCTCCTCGTCTTCGTCCTGCTGATGCTGCTCTCCGCCCTCCACAGGTCTCCCCGCCTTTCCTGCCGCGTGGCCCTCTCCTGAGGAGAGTGGTCCTCCGACGGGGAGTCCTGCTTGAGACGACTAGGCCGCGGCGTATCCACCCTCGATGGTGTCACGTCGCGGCTCTGCTCAGGATAGGACAGCCAGGCCTTCCTCCACTCTCCAACTCAAGTGCGCGATGATCAGCCTAAAACGGGTCCCACGCGAGATGACGCAGCGACCATGCGCGGCGGCTTACGCGGGCCGCCAGCGCGGCACGCTACATTGGAAACGAGGGCGCGTACGCGCGACCTCACGCGGGAAGCTTACGCGCGAATGTTGGCGCAGAGACCCCGTGTTCTTGCGTCGATCAAGTGACTTCTCTCCTGCGGCAGCAGCCGCTGCACGCCCGCCGCTGCCAGTGTCTTGTTTAGCCGCGTGCGAGCGAAAAGGATTGAATCGCGCTCCCTGGGCACGCTCGCATAATATGAGACACGAAGCGCAGACACGATGCCTTGGACGTGGCGAAAAAAACGGGGCGAAGAGAAGGGCGAAGGATGACAGGGCGACGAGAAAGGGCGACAAGAAGGGGCGAAGAGAAGATAAGTGGCGAAGGAATGACGACTGCAGTCGACGCGGCGAGGAGAAGGGAGTGGCTCCGGCCCCTGATGCACCATGTCTGCCACTCCCACGTGCAAATAATTGGCTTCACGACGGCGAGCCCAATTCTCCTTATCTACAACCCTCGTTCCGTAATCATAACTCACTCTGCATGCGAGCACTACACCGACTCCCCTGTGCAATTCCGACACGTATCAACGCTCCAAAAGATAAAGGGATCACACTAATGTGCACCCCCTGCCTTAGCCTGCTTCTCCTTGTGCACTTTCCGCAGGGCTAGGCTTGAGAGGAGCTTGCTGCCCTTTTTCAGCATAGCCTCGCGCAGTCAGAACATAATGACACGCCCACTATGCGACAGGGGCACGGGCAAACGCAGGACCCCGCATGCTCTCATCGGAGCTGTGACAGGGGGGACTCGTGCATCATAGCGTGAGGCACGCACGCGGACGAAGGGGGGGAAATGGGGCAGGGAATGCATTTAAAAAACACACACACACACACAAAACGTCCAGGAAATTAGCCCCCCCCCGCCCTCCCCCCAAAGTCCACCCCCGCAGTTGGACGCCGGACGCCCCCAGCACTGCACCTCCTCGTCCTCCACTACCTCCCACTACCTCCCCTTCGTCCACCCTCCCACTGCCCCACCACCCCATCTCCACCTACCCCTCCCCGTCCTCCCTCTCCCCCTTTCTCCTCCCGCACCCCTCGCTCCTGCGCTTCCCTGCGCCCGCCCCCGTTATCCACGTCCCGCTTCCCTCTCCCCCCCCCTTTAGCCCCCCCCCTTCCCTCCTTCCACGCCCCTCCTCCCCAACCCGTCCTCGCCCTCGTCCTCCTCCTCCTCCTGCTCCTCCTCCTCCGGCGGCGCGCGCGGGTCTCTCGCGCGGCCGGGGCTCTGTAGTCGGGAGCAGGCGCAACCCTGCTGCTTCTCCTCCTCCTCCTCCTCCTCCTCCTCCTCCTCCTTTCTTTTTCCTCCTCCTCCTTGTCCTCCTCCTCTTCCTCCTCCTCCTCCTCCTCCTCCTCCTCCTGTTCCTCTTCCTCCTGATCCTCCTCGTCCTGCTCCTCCTCCTCCTCCTCCTGCCCGCGGCGGTTGGACGGCTCGCATGCCGCGCGCGGGCCCCCCGGAGATCAGGGGGGCCCGCCCGTGGGCGCGGCGGCCCGGTTGCTCAGGACTAGGGTAGTCGCGGCCGCGCCTTGCGCGCGGCGATCGGGGATCGATGGCAACGGATTCTGGACCCTGTTGTTCCTTTCTGGGCACCGGGGGGCCGCCGCCGCCGCCGACGACGCCGACGACAACGGCGACGACGACGACGACGACGACGACGACGAAGATCTCGCCGACGGCGGCCTGGGACACGGCCGCCGCGCGCAGCTCACGGCACCGAGTTGCGATCGCCCCGCCTTCTTCCCCAGACCTCCAGCACCCTGGAGAAAACAATGGGCACTTGCACTCTCGATGCAAAACCTGCGTGGTGCAGTCTGGGTAAGGTGCGGCTTGCGTGGCGCAACCTATTCGGCACAGCGAATGTGCTACAACAGATTGATGTGTGTGTGTTTGCTTGTATGTATGTATGTATGCATGCATGCATGCATGCATGCATGCATATATACATATATATATATATGTGTGTATAAGTGTGCGCAGTCTGTGGCAAGTAGATACATGGTGCAATATGAATGGTGGCATCTATGTGGTGCAGTTGATTTTCACAAACGAATTAACACATTCCATATTTTTGCAAAAATCCCACCCACCCACCCGCAACTTGGTTTGCAAAACCCGTGCGGCGGCGATTGCGATGAGTGTTTTTCGGCGCTGGCTGGTGCATCTCTGCGGCCGCGCCAGCCCCCGCATGCAGGCGCGCGCAGCGGCCAACTAGTTTGACGCGACCGACGCGACCGCGGTGGCGCTGACCGCTGGGCGCATCCCAGCGGGCACTTCAGTGCGAGTCGGCGACTTGGGCGGGCGCGGTATCATGGTAACGTCGACAACAGTAAACACGATAAGGATGGTAGCGATGCTGGTGACGACGGTGACAACGACGACAGCACGGCCAGTGACGGCATTGATGCAGATCACGGTGACGACGATGACGGCGTCCCCACGTTTGTGGTGAAGGTTTTGGAAGGAGTTCGACATATGCGCGCGGCCGACGCGCGAGTGGCCGCACGGTGATCTTTGATACTGGTCGTGCCTCCCCCCAACACGCGCACAAAGGCGCTTGATTGATTACCGCATGCGGCGCGAGAGACCCGTTTGGTAGAATTCCATGGACATGCTGGACACCTTTTGGTTTTCTTCAGCATTCGCAAGAGCGCGAGCGCAGGCTATTTTGAAAACGGATGTCGCGAACCCATATGTTTTCACCTGGCTTCGGGACACTGGGTTTTGACATCCGTGCGAAACCTGCGGCTTTTGAAACATTTCGGCATGCGCCCGCGACGACGCGCGCGCGTGCAAGTTGTCCCATCGTTTGTAAAGGATTCTCGCGACAGCACGAGCGTAAGGGCGTTTGAACGATGTCAACATGCGCGCGCGAAGCCCGTTCGGCAGCATGTTATGAGGATGTTGTAAAACCGACCGATGGTTTTCTCAAGGGTTCGCAAGAGCGCGAACGAATTTGTTGTTTGATATATGTGTATATATAATTTATGGACATACACATGTATGTATAAGCCTGGTACGAAACCATATGTTTGTATATGAGTTGGACACTCGGTTTTGACCAAGTTTTATTTTCGGTGGGAATTTGAAGATTTTGAAAAATTTGCATATGCCCGCGACGACGCGCGAGTGCGCACCTCGTCCCATTATTATGCAAGAAATTCTTGAGAACTGATGCCTGTTGATGCGCGAGTGCGCGAGTATATTTCTTGGACCCAAGATGACGATGGGTGTCGATACCAGCCTGCCTGGACTGGTATGATGTCATATTTCGGATGGGCGATGCCGCAGAATCATTTGCGAATTGGAATACGAGAGGGGGACGGATAATCTCGGGGGGGGGTAGAATTGAATTTCTGGGAAGACAGGAGAATCCTCAATGCAAAGCTAGAAGTTGTCAGCTCCACTGCTCGCGCGAACCTCCCACGCTCCCACCCGCAGCATTGTTTGCACAACCCACGCGGCCGCGATTGCGGTGACTTGGCACTTGCTGGCGCATCTCTGCGGCTGCGCTTGCGCGCACAATTTTGCGCGCGGAGCGGCCAGCTTGTTTGGCACAACCGACGCGGCCGCGACGGGACCCTGGGGCCGTCCCCAAGGACCAGTTCTTATCTTGAGCCGCTTTTTGAAGGCCCTGGTGTTCATCGAAGGCCCCAAGGGGGGCCCGTGGTATCGGGCCGGGCGAAAGGGGGGGATAGCAAAGGGGGGGTTTGAGAATCAGCTCACGTTGCCGATTTTCCCGGCGCCTCCCGGCGCCAGGAGGCACCCATGGATCGAGGAATGGGCCCGGCGGCGGGGCCGAAACCAGCTGCATTGAGCAGATTTCGTAACCCCCCTTTCCATCCCCCCGGTTCTTTCGGCCCGATGGTAGGAGCAAGGGAAAGCGACAACACCACCATCAGCGCGAGGATCCAGGCGGGATACACGGCGTTCGTTTCTAATCGTGCTCATTTCTAATAGTGCTCGTTCCTAACTGTTCCTGGCCCCCTAGTGGCCAGGAAGAGGCCCAGGATAGAACAATTAGAAATGAAAGGAACTTGCCCCCCCAAAAAATCAAAGAATTTTCGAATAATGAGAAATGAGCCATGTGCAATCTTGGCGTTGTGGCCCCCCCTGCCCGCTCGAGACATCCCGCACCCCCGCCTCGGGAGGGGGCATCGTGGAAATCTTCGCTGGAGGTGGCACCCCTAGTGGTGGTGGTGGTGGTGGTGGTGGTGGTGTAGATTCTCTTCCCTCCGATGTGGAAATTAGGCGTCGCTTCATGTCAAGGGGCCCAACGACACATCAATAGATACACACAAATCCCTGGATTCCCCTCTATTTTCCATGTTTTCTTGACTTTGTCTTCTCCCCCACTTCCCATAGATTCCTATATTTTCCTGGGAGTCGAAGATTCATTGCGTCTGTGTATTCCTTTCCTCTCCTGATACTGGGGGGACGATACATGGGGGAGGGGGCAGGGAGACATGTACACCTTCTGGGCACCCAGAAGAGCTCCCTTTTGGCCCCGGAAGGGCCCCTTGAGGGGCCCTAAAAAGGGCCTCTTTTCTGCAGCAATCGCTGCCCCCCTTTGCCGCCCCCCCATCAGGGCTGAACCTAAACGGTGTTTTCTGTTTTCGTTTTGGTTTCGTTTCCCATCGCTTTTGCCTCGAATCCGCATTTTTTCTGCAAAACGACGTCGAAACGAAAACGGCCCACGAAATCACAAAAAAACACCGCTTAGGTCCAGCCCTGCCCCCCCCCATGACGCGAGGCCCGAGGAGAGCCCGCCGCGCTCCCGCCGGAACCGGCCGAGAGAGGGCGCGCCGCCGCCCGCGCAGCCTTGGCGCCCGCGCCGCCGGACCCGGCCTTCTCGGCCAGCTCCTGCGGGCCGGCCGGGACGGGGACCCTCCGAGGGGGGCCTGCGCCCGAAGTCCTCGCAGCCACGACGCAGAGCTCTCTGTGGGTCGGGGGGGGGGGGGAACAGTCAGAGGGGGAGGGAGAGAAGGAGAAGCAGGAGCAACCTCAACAGCGCAGGAGGAGGAGGAGGAGGAGGAGGAGGAGGAGGAGGAGGATCAGCAAGAGCAGCACTGCAGGAGGAGAAGCAGGAGGAGGAAAACAGAATAAGATGAGGCCTCAAGGTGGACCGTCCACAGCACGATCTCGCTGTGCCATGCCACCAAATACCAAGCACCAACCGATGGAATCTGGGAATCGTGCTGCAGCATCTGCATAGGCTCGGGCCCCACGAACGCATCCGAGTGGTGGCACTGCTTTGTCCTGCATCGCTGCCTGTGCCACAAAATTGATCCGACTTGGTCATCCGCTGAATCAGATCAGACCGATGCGAAATCGCCCACTACATTTACCATCGATCATGCTTGAACACATTATGAATGGTATACTCGATTCTCATTCAACGAAACATGTGTGCGCTTGATATGTGCAACGCAAGACAATCGTGTTTTCTATCGGAATTCCGACCAAGAAGCGCCACACGCTTATCTGGAGGCCGCGCCATCAGGGCACCGCCGAGCTTGGCTGACTTGACCGTCGAACCGCAAATGATAGCTATGGATGGGCACTGGCCAATATTCGAAAGCCTCCGGACAGACAACTCTACACGCTTGCTGACCGATTCCAGCTGCGTGTGTGCGACCTGGCGCCAGCCTGACTCAGTCCAGCAAACCACCTGGAACTCGGGATCTGAGCCTCCGAAGCACGCCCGCCGAAACCAACTGAAACCCGATCCAAATCAAGCTGGTCGATTGACATTGCAACCCAACACTTCTATCATGAGTCATGCCTGCGTGTTTGCAGGACAGCGCCAGAACAAATAGCGTTGAATATGTCCCAAAGCTGGGAGTCCAGCCAGTGCACTCATCACACAAGCAATTTCAGTTCGTACACGCGCTGGCCACTCCCTGCATCGAAGTGAGTTGATTTGAAGAACGAGCTGGGAGATACCCCAAGTCCTTGGCGATAGTATCCCCTTGCAGGCATTCCTTCTGATGGCCAGCATACCTTCCGTCCCGCGGCGCACACTTCTTCGCTTTGACACTATACAAGCATACGCAATTCACGTCGTGGCGATGAAATCCGAATGCAAAACGTGAACCTTTCATCTCAGACGAATATACATCTGCGTTGACACGACATCCGAAGAAACAAAACACCGACACTGACCTTGTGCGCCAAAAGGATTTCTACCACAGACTCGATGCACACAGGGATCACCTGAACATGGCAATACACAATGTTGGTACAACTTCAGACAGACAGCGCGATGTCAAACAACCTCTCACATTCCCGCTGTTGCTCCATGTGACGCCTGCCTGCCTGCCAAACCTCATGCGATTCAAGAAAAGCACGTTTTCCGCACAATGCGTCCACATGCATTAGTACCCCCAACCCGGCGGCACCACGCGGCTACGAAACATGCCTCCGAACAATAGGTGGCGTCACACCGGCAAGCGTAGTACGGGTCTGGCAGCTCTTTTGGGCAATTCGCCTTGGAGCACGCGACCATTGCGGCAGGCCCCCTGTGAGTGCAGCGGCGGAGCCATCCCTGCGAGTGCGGCGTCAGATAGGGCGGCGGGAAGGGGGGGAAGAGAGGAAGGGCGGTGCACAGCAACCCCTCCTCGTCCGTTCTCCCCCCCCCCCCCCCCCCTCCGCCTGATGGTCCTTCTTCCCTGGCTCCCCCTCCCACTGTCGGAAGCCTCGGCGGAGAGGCGAATCGGAGCTGAAGGCGCAGAAAGGGGGTGGGGAAAGGACGTGGCATAGAATTGGCCCCCGGCTGAGCACGTGCCCCGGGAGGGGAGGGGACAGAAGGCAGTAATGGGGTGCGGGATTGGATGGGAAGGGATTGAAGGGAAGGGGTCGGAGTGGACGACGAGAGGCGAAGGAAAGAGAAAACAAGCAGAGAAGAAGAATGATGATGAGCAGTGGAACGAACATGAGGATCAGTTTTCCTCCGCGAGCGATATGGCAGAACCGAAGGGAGTAACAGTTCTGGCCACGATGGAGGGCACGCGCTGTGAATGCCCTCCCTGGAACAAAAAGGGTCCGACGCTGTTCGTCAGGCCTGGTAGCCGACTGACGCTGCCACAGTAGCCCGACAGGGCGTGAAGGGTGCGCAAGCGCCACCCTCCCTGAACACAAAAACAACACACACAAAGTGTCCAACGCTGAGCGCCGGACTTGGCAGCGCGCAGAGGCGGCTGCCTGTGATGCCCACGGGGCGGGAGTGCCAAGACCACTGAGCATCCTCCCTTGGGCCCAGGGGACAGAGGAGCAGCCTGCATCGCGCCTCTTCTCGCCACAAGCTCGACCCCAAGGTCAGCGCGGCCAGCCCGTACAGTCAGCACGCTGGGCAATACCGCCCATAGATACTAGGCTTGAAATTTATACCCGTGCGTACAAGGCTGGGCAAGAAGGAGCAAAAAGGTGAATCCTTGCCTGGCGCAGCCAGGGCAGGAAGGGGGGCCGTTCTGGACCAGAACGACCCCGGTCCAGACTAGAACGGCCCCTATCTAGCCAAGAAAAGGCCCGTTCTAGGCTAAAACGGGCGGACGCTGTCTCGGGGCAGCCCCAGTACAAGACCCGACCCGCGACTCCACCAAACACCCAGACAAATATGGGGCCGTCCCCGCGCATGTCTGAACAGTGCCGCTGCCACCGCGGCGATGGAAACAGCGCGCTGGCACCAGCCAGCAACGCACAATAAGAAAAGAAGGCGAAGTCCAGCCAGACACCACAAAGCAGGGCGGGGCGGGTACTGACTCGGGGTAACCTCAGGACAGGACCCGACCCCCGACCCCACCAACTGACCAGACAAATATTGAGCAAACTCCTCAATGTCTAATGTGTGCCGCTGTCTCCGCAGTGAGGAATAGTGCGTGCTGGCCAGCGAAGCCCAAGATCCTCAGGCAGGCTCGAAGTGGCAGAAGAGGTGAGGGGTGCGGCAGCAAAGTGGAATCCCGCCTGGCACCGCCAGGACAGGGCTGCCCCTCAAGGGGAACTGTTGCTGCTGGCGGCAGCCTGTCTAGCCGCCAGCTCTCTCGCTTGCACCCGCGCCAATAGCTGCCATTCCTGCTGTCGGCGGAAGGGGGTCCAGACCCCTTGGCAGCTGGCGTCACTCGGGGGGCGGCGGAAGCGTAGACTCCTTGCCACTCTTCTGGGTGGTTCGAATGTGGGCCAGCGCGTGGACCTTGGACAAATCTAGACAACCTTGCAAGCTCTTACTGAAACCAGGGCAGCCTATCATGGGCCTAGATGAGGCCTCGCTGCTAAACAAGAGGCAGCGTATACACCTAGCGCGGCCTCCCGCCAACACTTCCAAAGCGCGCCGTCCAACCGACTTGAGGAAATTGCCATTGGGTCCGAGGGCGGGGCGCTTAAAATCTTCAGCTTCAAAAGCATGCAACGCCTTGGTCACGACACGGGTCGCGAATTTGAGACTAACTCGGTTAGGTCTATAAGCTCATTTTCGGCATTGGAGGGGAGAGGGTGGAAGAATAATGTCGACTTGGCAAGGGTGTCCACAAGGCTGCTACCAACGGCGAACCTCTTCTCCACAAACGACAGGGCACGAATGACTTCCTCGGATCGCTGGGCAGGGGCGTGCGCGGCGCTATGGGTGTGGTCGTGTTTTTCGTGAAGCAGCGCCCCCTCCTAAATCCAGCGCGCCTGTGTCGGGCTATCGCGTGATGGCCAGGTGCGGTCAAACATATCTTTGCCACGGTCATGCAGTCGCTGCAACGCTGGTCTAAGCTCTGCACAAAAACTAGGAGCATCGCCACTGCCTGATGCTCCGCGGCTTGAGGGGTCTGTTGAAAACGCCCCACGCCGCTCTTTTGGCGCGCGCAATTACCCCCCCCCCCCCCCAGCCCCAACAACAAACAAAACGCGCGAAAGAGGCGCGGCTGATCTCTCGCACAGCGCGACGGCAACAAGAGCCGTCAATGCACACTCCGCACCCCTGCATAACGATTGGCCCCATTCAACCTGCCCCCTGGGGGTTGTACAAACAGAGGTGGGGTTATCACGCGGCGGAGAGTCGATTGCTTCAGGGCGGGGGGGCTTGAGCTCGTCCCACAGAAACCGATCTTCCGACGCCAGCGCCTCCTCGAGGAAGTCATGCAGCTCGCCCCTTGCAGCCGCTCGTGCACCTCGGGTCACCCCATGTTGGCAATGCCAAACGCGGTGCCCAGCGCTGTCCATTCCAGCATTCGGCGGGCATCTTCTATCACTCTGATATCATGCGGCGCGCGCCCGCGCGCGCGCCCACAGTCCCCCGCAAGAAACTGCGGCGGCCAAACATTGTCCCCGGCGTGAAAACCGAGATCGCGGCCCCGGGCTCTTTTGGAGCGGGTCCAGGGTCACGCGGTGCCCGACATTGCCAGGGGCCTCTCTAGCCATGTCTGGTTCGAACTGTCGCCGGTTGGCCAGAGGCGAAAGGTGGCCGACCATACTCGGAGAGACGCGTGCGAGGTTGACCTCGCGCCCATAGCCCCCCCCCCACGTTGACGCCGACGGCGCGCCAGCTTAAGCGGCGCAAGCAAAGACGCATTCTCTGAATGGGGCCCTTTAGAATGCTTCCACGCCGCCCCACTTATCGAAAGAATCCCGGCCCCGCGTCTGACAGACCTCTCCAACAATTTAATGGGGCGCGGGGGGGGGCAGGGCCGCCATGGCAACGTTGGCCCGCTGAGGGGGGGGCGACACTGGCCCTAGCCGCGGGCCCCCCCCCCCGCGCCCCATAAGAGAGCAGAATGCGCATAGTCTGTCTCAACGCACTGCGGCGCGCGCGGACCAGGCTGGATCCGAAAGCGGCCGCGGGGGGGGGCAACTCCGGCGACGTAAACTGTCCGATGCGACTCTTTTGCCTGGAAGGTGGCGGCTATGCTTCTGAAGCTGGCGATGGCGTTTGAACATGTACTCGAACTGAGACCGACGCTTCCATCTCGCATTCTTGGAGCGCCGCGCCTGCCCAGGAGCTAATTCCGCACCGGGGCTGACCGCGCCATTCGCGACCTGGCCAGCCGCCCCGCCGAGCAGTTTGCCGAATTTGCGGGCGGCGCGCAAAGGGCCGCCGAAGAAGGTGAGCTTGTCGGCCCGCAGACCAACCCTTCAAATCGCCACGGGAAATTGCAGAACATAGTCGCACGCGCCTGCGCCATGCGAGAGAGGGCCTCTTGCTCCGCCGTCGTTTCCGTCGTCAAATCATCGATGTGGGAGGAGATGCAGACGGGGGGATGGGGACTGGAGAAGCGATCGAAGGCCGCCAAACTATAGGCCCTCGCAAAAAAGAAAAAGGTCGTTAAAGATGTTCCCCGCCGGGAGACCTGAGCGCGCAAAATGCGGGACCGCGCCGCGCGCGCAGCCCAACCTGACAATGCGAGGTCCTCGCCAGTAGTTACGCGTTGTTGTCGCATTCGCTCCATCGGAGCCGAGGTCCAACGCGCGGCCCCGCAAAACTTCAAAATCGAAACTCTAATGATATTTCGCGCCATCCCAGCTGACCCCCGGGGAAGCCTGGCCCTCCTGAGCCGCGACCTCTGCGCGAGCAGCCTGGCGCCAGACAACATCTTCGGGGCTCCGCCCAGGCCCGAAGGCCCAGGAATTCCTCGGGTAACGGTCGGTATAATCCAGGAGGCACGGTCTACGAAGCCGTTCCCAAACTCTTACAGGTCCCGCGCGCAGGAGGGCGGGTCGGAGGCCGCCTCCTCTGGGTTTCTCGAGGAGATGGAAGAGAAGCTAGAACAACTGCCTGGGAAACAAACCCAAAGACACGAGAGACTGAACAATAGCCCCGAACGCTCTGAGAGCATCATCCGGAACCGGCGAGAAGCGCCGCGAGCGCACTTCGCTCAAGGACTGGGACGTCAGTTTAGAGAAGCTGGTGCTCGCGCCGCGGAGGCCCCCTGCTGCCGGGCGCGGGAGGTGTCTCCTATTTGGTGCATGCGCGGGCGCGGAGGTGGTGGCCTGCCAGAAAGACGCCAGAAACTCGCTTCCAGCCTCGAGAAGGCCCTTCGGGTTAGCAGAAAAAAGTGCCAGGGCTGGTCTGCAATGCCGTGGGGGTCCAATTCTGCTTCGGCCCCGCAAGTCCGCGCATGGCCCGAGCTCCACCTCTCGACGCTTTCTGCTGCCATTCGTCCCAAATGTCCTCCCCCCCCTTCGCGATGGCCTTCGCAGCCTCGTCGAAATCGCCACCCCGCGCTTGGAGGGCGTCGGCAGCCTCGCCCGGCCACGTGGCCGACGTGGCCGCCCAGCGTCTCGACGCAGCACGCGCCCGCGCAAGCGCGCTGCCCAGTCGCGCGCTGAGGCCTTTGCCAAGGCGCAGCTGCCAGGTAACAGTCTGCGCGCGATGGGCGGCGCCTTCCTGGAGGAGCTGCCGCGTGGCGGGGGTCGCGCGGGGATCTTCGAAGGCCTCTTGGAGCCTTGGAGCAATCCCCGCAGCTTCAAGCACGCGCAAGCCGCCCCCATCCGCTGGCGGCTTCCATCTTGCGGACCCCCGAGGCCTCGAAAAGATGGGGTCCGGCGGGCTCTCAGTCTGGGACCTGTATTTCCTCCGCCGTTGACCGTGACCCCCGCGCAGGCATCGAATTCCCTCTCGGACGCGCTCGGGCAATGAACCCTCGCCCGACCCGAGACTTCCCGCACGCATCCAACGCTGCGATGCGCGGCAGCGACCGCGGCGCGCTCGGCGACGTCTCGGTCGGGGGGGAGGCCCCGCGGGCAGCTCGACGGGAAGACGCCGGCACGAACAAAAAACACCGCGCCATCGCGAGGCTGCAACATCGCAGGCCTGCGCGGCATCCCCGCCCATTGAAGGTCGCACTCCACCTTCTCGGCTGCGCGAGGAAAAGCATTGGATCACGCGCGGGATTGAAGCGTGGGCAGCGATGGCGGTGCGACGCGCGCGCGATCCGTCGGTGCAAAAAGGGCAGCATCGATGCGTCTGGTCAGGCCGGCGGACCCCGCGATGCTGGGTTCGAGGTTCCAGTCCCTGCCGACAGCGGACATCGGCTCGTTCTCAACGGCCTGTCCAACGAGCTTCAAGAGGCGGAGGTTGGTCTCGCAAACTTTCGCGCCAGACTTAAGGCGCAGGGACATGACCGCGATGGGGGGGGGCCACGACGGGATAACTCGACCACAACATTCAGCGCCCGCCCAGGTTCCACGACGCGAGTGCATTCGGCAGGTCACCTGAACCCGAGACTGTGCCCGACGAGAACAGCGGCCTCCCACTCAGGACGTCCCCCACTGCCGCAGATGGGGGGCGCATCTGCCATGGATGGGGGGCGCGTCCAGCATTTTCCAACCCAACTAGCCGACGGCATCACATTTGTCACCCAGGTCTTCGCAGGGGAAGCCCACTTCTCGGGCCGACGCAATCATGGCGGCCGCAGTCGCGAGACGGTCACGCAACGTGGGCAAAGAATTGCTATTGTACGTCCCAATGAACTCCCTAGCGCCAAGTCCCTGAGAAGTCGAGGGCCCAGGAGGAGGAGGAGGAGGAGGAGGAGGAGGCGGGGGAGGTGGCACAGGCAAGCAGTGTCTGGACAGCGGCAGGCCGCAACAGAGCGGCATGGACTCACTCACTCTGTCACCCGCACTTCCGCCGCTTGGCCGGAGGCTCAGCCAGCCTCGTACTCCACTCCCTCTTGTCGACGCACTGCGACATGCAGAACGATGGTTCCAGGTCGCCGCTGTTGAGGCCAGGCGCGGACGCGTCGAGGAGGCCATCGTCGCTCTGCTGCTGCTGCTGCTGCTGATGCTGCTGTTGCTGCTGCACCTTCGCCATCGGCGGCCGCGTCAGTTGCGCATTGTTGTGCCGGCGCGGGCGGCGCGGGCGGCGCGGCAGCAGGCTGGGCCGCAGCCGCGAAGGGCGACTGGGCACGCGCGGAAGCCGCGCCTCAATCCATAGGGCCGTCACCATCAGCATCGCGAGGAGCAGGGCCAGGTGCGAAAGGCGACGATGTTGCTACCGACGATGCCGACATGGCCGCTCGCAGCTGCTGCTCCTCGAGCTTCTGGAGGTACTTCTGAAACACCTGGGACTCGACCAGGCCCCGCACTGCATCCTTCTCCCCGCCGTCTGCCGAATCGTCGAGATTGAGACGAGGCCTGGCGCCAGGGAGGTTAGCCACGAGCTGACGATGGAAGTCCGTAGTTTCCAATTCGCACGCCTTGTGCTGCGCGCGCAGGGAGTCAAGCTTCTCGGTGGCCTGCTGAATGAGACGCAACTGCTCCTTGATGTCGTTCGCGAGGTTCTTCTGCTTGGCCACGACTCTGGCGAGCTTGTGGCCTGTGTTGGTGTGCTGCGTGAGGGCTGGCTTGCAGGCCGCCAGGGTCTTGCGCGCCTCCTGCAACTGAACTTCAAGGCTTTGCTTGGCCTCAAAACCGTTGCCACCAAGCCTCTCCACTGCCTGGATCGCGGCTTCGAAACCTTTGATACTGTCACGTGTTTGCTTTCCTTCGCCCTCCTCTTTGGCAGTGCTCTGGCTGGACCCCCAGCAGGCACAGCATTCGAAGAGGAAGTGACGACAAGCTTCTCGCGCCGCTTCTGCAACTCATCAAGCTGTCCTTGTAACTTACCTTCAAGAGAAAGGCCACCACCAATAGGACGGCGTCCAGCAGGAGGAGACCTTGCGCCGTTGCCATTCGTGTTCGTCGAGATTTTCTTGGCATGCTGGCGGGCTGCGCTGATGACTCAAGTAAGTGCTGCACGTCCGCACCTGCACTGGATCCTTGACGCCCAAGTCGTGTTGAGCCCGCATCATCCGCATATCCTGAAAGGCTGCCGTGGGCCAGGTAGCTCGGGTTCATTATCATCCATGGAGTCCGCTTAATGAGGGGGGAAAGAGACTCTGATGTCTCCGACCCCGCCGAAAAGCTTGACTCGCAGCAGCTCTTGGCCGATCTGAAGATGCAAGCTGCTGCAAGTTCAGGTCACTGCCTTGAGCCAAAGCGGCTTGAGCTAAAATGGCTAAGGAGAGTATGAGAAGAATAATGAGCAGGAGGAGGAGGAGAAGTAGAAGGAGGATGAGGAATATGGGAATGACAAACACATTGTCTGTAATTCCCGCCGGCGAGGATAGGAGCGAGAGGTTGCTCTGGGGTCGGAGTCTTCGAGGTGAAAGGCTTGCCGTTGGCAGCGATGTTTCTAAAGACCGGTGCTGCAAGTCCTGAGCCCGGAGTTATCGTTTAGAGTTGCTGAGACAACCAACACGTTTCGTGCATGCCATTGGTTCGCGCGACCTGAAGCCCATCACTCCGAACAGAAAGCATAGGATGTTAGAAGCGGCAGGGGACAACGACATCAGGGGGAGGGCGACGAGATGGGCAGCCAAAGCTGAGCCGCAATTCACGATCCGGGGAACAAACATCGGGCGTTGGTCGCCCGTTCCAGCCAATCCACATTCTCACCTCTTCCTCATCCTTGTCATGCGCTTGCCTGTCCATATCCCCTTCCTCCACCTCCGCTCGCAGACCACATGCCTCTTGCCTGCATCCATGCCCCCTGTCCTTGACCAGCGAGCGCCCATCGGCTACAATGACCGACGAAGCTGGCGTGGAGCGAATTTCAAAATATGATTGTGGCAGAACGGCCGAAGTAAAGCAATCGTTCGTTAGCGAGTGCACGCCGCGGGCGTATGTGCTGCCCTGCGCGCACATGTTCATGCCATACTCTGGACGTGCATGTGCTATTGCGTCTCTTCGTGTTAAATCATCGGGTGATTGCGCGAATGGTTGCGGCGACATTTCCTGCGTTGGGAACACTACGCTGTGCAATCCACTCCAGCATGGCATGGCGCAATAAATCAGGATGAATGGGTTCGCGCCAGTCAGTTCCTATAGTACAGAACCATGGGATGTTATATGCAATTTGGTCTCGACGATCAACTCTTGAGACCCCTGCGAACCTTGATACATAGTTTGTGGCTGCTCCCTCGAAGCGGCTTACTGTTACGCCAATTCCAATGTTGCCTTGGTGTGATTTGCTGTATGTCTCATACGCTCTTACAATTGCGGCAAGGTCCTTGTGTGGCCCACCAGACCGGCGGGCGAAGATGGTATAACGAGTTGTTCCCAACCATCCTGTGGTTCCTCGTTTTGAAGAGACAGCGCCCCCTCCCCCTTCCGTTCATCCCTGACTTCGTGGCCCTATAGGAAGCCCCACCGAAGGCTCCAGTGGGACCGCCCGCATGCGTCATCCACCACCCAGCAAAACATTTCGTGGCCCCATAGAGAGCTCCACCGAAGGCTCCAGTGGGACCGCCCGCATGCGTCATCCACCGCCCGGTACAGCGCTTCGTGGCCCCATAAAGGGACCGAAGGCCCCAGTGGGACCGCCTGCATGCGTCATCCACCACCCAGCACAGCGTTTCGTGGCCCCACAGGGGATTCCACTGAAAGCCCCAGTGGGGCCGCCCGCATGCGTCATTTACCACCCAACACAGCATTCCGTGGAGTTCCTCCGAAGGATCCAGTGAGACCGCCCGCATGGGTCATCAACCACCCAGCACAAGACTTCTTGGCCCCATAAAAGAAGCTCCACCGAAGGCCCCAGTGGGACCGCCCGCATGCGTCATCCACCACCCCAGTACAGCGCTTCGTGGCCCCGTAAAAGAAGCTCCACCGAAGGCCCCAGTGGGACCGCCCGCATGCGTCATCCACCACCCAGCACAACGCTTCGTGGCCCCATAGGGAGCTCTCCGAAGGCCCCAGTGGGACCGCCCGCATGCGTCATCCACCACCCAGCGTAGCATTTCTTGGCCCCAAATGGGGCCCCGCTGAAGGCCCCAGTGGGACCGCCCACATGCGTCATCCACCACCCAATGCAAAGCTTCGTGGCCCAATTGAGGGCTCCACCGAAAGCCCCAGTGGGACCGCCCGCATGCGTCATCCACCACCCAATACAGCGTTTTGTGTCCCCACAAAGAGCTCCACCTAGGTGCCCGTGGCGGAACTCGCATGGCGGCCCAGTGGCGGAGCACGGATGGCGGCGACTTTCGATGTTCGGAAGTTTTTCGTCATATTCGACGTCTCGAAGCCGCTTTCGGGCCGCGCACCCCGGGCGGGAACCAGCCTGCTCGCTCTCTCTGCTCCGCGCAGCGGACGACGCGGGCGCGTCGCCGGGACCCCCTCGGGGGCGACCAGCGCGCTTCGCGGGGACTCCGTGCGGCGCCGCGCCCACAGCCTTGGACGCGGGCGTGCACGGGCAAAGAGGGAGAAGAAGAACGGGAAGGAAGCGGGCGCGATCCTCGTGAGAGGCGTGCTGACATGGGCGTCGACATTTACGCACGTAGACCCACGCGCGCGCAGACTCATCCACAATCAGACTCACTCGCTCTCAATTTCTCGCACACAGACCTATCGTGTTCGCTCGCGTTGTGTGCCCCGTCACGCATGTCGGCACGCCCCTCACACGGTTCGTGGCCCCATAGGGAGCGCGGGCGAAGATGATATTCAGAATTGCGGTATACAGCATATGGTTGGGTCCCTCGCCAGGCCAATGTTCCTCCCTCTTCCAAGACCCTGCTGGGGGCAAACGTTTATCCCTGCCCCCTGGTAACAGACACTTCCCCCCCCACCCGACCAGCAACAAACCTTGGCCAATGAGGGCCCCCCACCCACACCTGTCAATTACTCGATGCGGGCATTCCTAAATGTGCACTCCATACTCCTGCCATGTCTCGCTGAGGAACTCTGTCTATGAGCATCTGGGTGTGAGGGCGTGTCTACGTCAACGACAGGCGCGGCAGCGACGACAACCACGACGACAGCGATTACTTCAGGAGGAACGATGGAAACACAAGCGGAAGAGCGAGTGGGAGTTCCTCTTGCCATTCTCCTCGCGCGGCAATTCAGGGAATGGCGCATTTCGTTGCTACGCCCGCTCTCTGGCGTGCTACTCGCGGCGCCTGCTGGCACTTGGGGCGCCCAACTGCCACGACGGCTATATCGCGGTAGTTACTTGAATGCGAGCACTCGTGCAAGAGAACTTGAGTGTGGGCGATCTGATTGTGAGCGAGTCGTGGAGTGAATGGATGTGGGCAAGATTAAGCATAAGAGAAGATGATTTTGGATACAATCAGTCTAGAGACACACATTGGTCTGCGCATGAGCGAGCCCAAGTGCGAGCGCTTCTGAATACGAGTGGGTCTGAATGAGTTGGAGTTCGAATTTGAGCGTGACGGATACAAATCTGAAGATGAGTGCGCCTGGGTGCACGGCAGTCGGAGTATGAGTGAGTCTGAGGGTGGCCGAGTCCAGTTGTGGACGAATCGGTGTGTGAGTTGATCTTGGTGTGAGCGACTCTGAATACGACCGAATAGGTTTGAATCAATATGTAGATGGCTGAATGTGCATGTGATGACTGATTGTGAATGACGAACAGTTCTTGATGAGTAAATCCGAATGCGAATGTGTGCGTCTGGATATTGGGAAAATGTGAGAAGGTGGGTGAGTGAGCAGGTGGTTGGTGAACACATACATCCAAAGAAAAGCTCGACGGGCAGAAACTTGCACACTGCTTGACAGGTTCCCACACGATGGGCGCGAATCCGCCCCTTGCGGCTCACCTTTGGAGTGCCCAAGTGCCACGTCTGCTGTATCGCAGTGAGCATTGACACACCAAAAACCCACCCAACCATAAACATACAACACAAACATCCGGGGGGCAGAAAAAGGCAAACCGCCTGACACATCCCCTCAATCTGCGCGCGCAACATCTTGGAATGGCCTCACCCCTGGCGGCTCTCCCTTGGGGTGCCCAAGTGCCGCTCCTGCTATATCGCGGTGAGCATTGGACCATTGAAAGAAAAACACCTGTGGGGCAGAAACAAGCAAACAGCCTGAGCCATCCCCATCCCCACAATCTGGAGTCTCCTCGCCCCTGAGGGCCCCTTTTTTGGGCGCCCACGTACCACTCCTGCTATATCGCGATATGTAGTGGACAACAAACAAAAAGTCTGGGTGCATGAGCAAGCAGCCCCCTTGAGACATCCCCTCAATCTGGGCGCAACCTCTGGAGTGTCCTCATCCGTGGCGGTTCCCCTATCTGGGCGCTGAAGTGCCACGCCTGCTATATCGCGGCGAGCATTCGACCAACAAAAAACACATCTGGGGGCAAAGACAAGCAAACTACGTGAGACATCCCCACAATTTGAGCGCGAGTAATCCTCGAGTGTCCCACCTGTTGCCCTCTTCTCCCTGGGGTGCCCAACTGCCACGCCTGCCAAATCGTGGTCAGCTTTGGACCACCACAGACGAAACAAGTCTGGGGGGCAGAACATGTCAAACCGCACGAGACATCCCCACCATCCGGGCGCGAGGTTTGGAAAGTCCATACCCTGACGCCCCCATGTGGGGGGTGCTGAAAACAGCATCCTGCCTGAGACATCCTCACACTCTGCTCCGAAAGCAGAGGATGTTTTGGCGTAGAAACAGGCAAGCCGCCTGAGTCATCATCCCCACAATCTGGGCGCGAAAGATCCTGGAGTGACCTCACCCCTGGCTGCTCCACCTTGGAGAACCCAAGTGCCACGCCTGCTAGATCGCGGTGAGTGGATCACCAAGAAGCTCGGAGTGAATCTGATTGAGGAACAGGGTGTCGAAGTGAGAGGGTTTGACTGTGTATGAGTGCGAATGCGTCTGAGGCTAATTCCCTGAATGGGTCTGCGGTAGTCTGAAACTGAGTGAGTCTGAGTGAAGTGGCTAAGCGTGCGTGACGAAGAGTGAGTCTGTGATGGGCCCGGTGAAGAGTGCGTTTATAATGGACCCCGCGATGGGTGTGAGTGATCTGCATGTGAACAAATGAGCGGTATGAGAATGTAAAAGAGCATTAAGAAGGTCCGGAAGCGTCTACTTAATAACAAGGACCCCGTTTCAGAGTACGAAGAAACCAATGCACATTGCGGAACATCTGGACCGTGCGCGGGCGCACCGTGAACACTTCGAATTGTGTTTCCCATCCATCCTGTGGTGTTGGTTCCTCGTTTTGAAGAGACCATCCCCGCGTTCCTCCTTCCTTCCTTTCTTCCATCCTTCCTCATCCCCTCCTCCTCCTCCCTGCGTTTCACCCACCCAGTACAGCGCTTCGTGGCCCCATCGGGAGCTCCACCGAATGCTCCAGTGGGACCGCCCGCATGCGTCATCCACCACCCAGCACAACATTTCGTGGCCCCATAGAAAAGTCCACCGAATGCTCCAGTGGGACCGCCCGCATGGTTCAGCCACCACCCAATACAACGTTTCGTGGCCCCGTAAGGGGCTCCACCGAAGGCCCCATGGGACCGCCCGCATGCGTCATCCACCACCCAGTACAGCGCTTCATGGCCCCATAGTGAGCTCCACCGAAGGCCCCAGTGGAACCTCGCGCATGCGTCATTCACCACCCAATACAACGTTTCGTGGCCCCATAGAGAACTCCACCGAAGGCCCCAGTGGGACCGCCCGCATGCGTCATCCACCACCCAATACAACGCTTCGTGGCCCCATAGAGAGCTCCACCGAAGGCCCCAGTAGGACAGCCCGCATGCGTGATCCACTATCCAGTGCAGCGTTTCGTGGCCCCATAGAGAGCTCCACCGAAGGCCCCAGTGGGACCGCCCGCATGCGTCATCCACCACCCAGTACAGATGTATAGATTTCGTCGCCCGATCGATCTGCGTAACGGGCGCCGCCACCGACGTGCTGAACTGGTCTCGGCGGCCAGCGCCCGTGCGAGCGGGCACGAGACGAGGAGCGGGCTCTCACGGGCGCCTCGCCAGCTACAGCATTCGGCCTGAGCAAAGCAAGGATACATAAGGAAACGAACCCCCTTTTTTCCCAAGTAAGTCTGCGAAGTCCGAGGGAACGGACCCGCGCGTCCAAAATCTGAAGGACCACCAAGGGGGCTCGCCGCAAAAAAAGGGTGGCGGAACGCATGCAAACCCAAGGAACGACCGAGCCCCTTTTGAAAAGTAAGTGTTCCTTGTTCCAGCCGGATCCTGTACAGCGCCGCGCGATCCCCTTTTTGAAGGGGCCCTGGGACACATACATAAATAGACACAAATAACAAGATTGCCCGAATTTTCAAATGTTTTCTGGTTTTCCGTCTCCCCCCCACCTCCCATATTTTCCCATATTTCCCTGGGGGTCGACGATTGAAGAATAAGAAGAAGAAGAAGAAGAAGAAGAAGAAGAAAAAGAAGAAGAAGAAGAAGAGGAGGAGGGGGAGGAGGAGGAGGAGGAGGAGGAGGAGGAGGAGGAGGAGGAGGAGGAGGAGGAGGAGTGTGCTTTTTCCCCTCCTGAGCTTCAGCTGCAGCCGAAGAGGGCGGGCAGGGCACCCGGGGCCGCCGCAGGTCGGAGCGCCACAGAGAGAGGAGCCGCGGGAGCTGCCAGGCGCCGGGCCGGTCCGCAGAAGCTTCGCAGCAGCCTCCAGAGCTCGATCCTCGAACCTCGATCCTCGATCCTCGATCCTCCCCCTCCTCCTCCTCCTCCTCCTCCTGCTCCTCCTCCTCCTCCTCCCTGTCGAGCCAGAGGTGGGGAGGCCGACAGTCGGCTTTCCTGTAGGCCGCTCAGCACACGCCTGGGCGAGCGAGAGGTACGTAGACTCCGATGCGGGCCCTGTGGGAAGGGGGGGATGAGGACATGAAGAAACTCTATACGTCAGAGTGGGAAGGCTCCGAACAACAATATATAGGGTGTCTAACGAGACAACATTGCATCTGAAACCAACAGTATGTTACAACAACATGCCACCGCATCGTTCATCACTGCTGGCATTAACATCTCCAATTATGAACTCGCAGGCAACCGGCCATCCGTTCTAGCAACACCAGTGCATGTCAACTGCACGCTGCCGCCATCGCAAGCCAGGACTTGGTCCAGATAACCATGCAGGGACGTCCCCTTGCAAACGTGCCTCTGCCGTTGCTGGATTGCGCTCCCTGGTGCCTTGTTACATCAGGGACGCAAAGCAATCAGCATGAAAGACGGCAGGCAGCGTGCGGCCTTCGAAAGCTTGATTGGAAAGCAAGCGCGCTACAGCGGCAAACAGCGGACTTTTGCGGAGATCACATGCGTGACACTCCACGCAGACCGAACAGTGGAGGGATGCACGGAGAATGAGGAAATTTAAGGATATATTCTCGAAGCTGCAAACTGATTGCCAATGCAACCGCGATCACCAGGTGGCAATACGTGGGAAGGTGGGAGTGGGGAAAAGGACAATGACTTGCCCCAGCATGAAATCCAGACTAGACGAGATGTGGATTATCTTGTGGCGAAGGGAGCACTGGAACGCTGAAACGCCGAAAATTGCAGAGTGCAAGCGAGAGAAAGCAAAACTGTTTTGCTTCGAGCGATCCCACCGAAACCGTCGGCGTCGCGGTCCACCTCCCCCTCCTCCTCGCCCTCCTCCTCGCAGAGAAACAGCATTTAGGCCTCCTCGTCCTCCTCCTCGTCCTCCTCCTCGTCCTCCTCGTCGTCCTCCTCCTTGTCCTCCTCGTCCTCCTCCTCGCCCTCCTCCTCGCAGAGAAACAGCATTTAGGCCGACGCCTCCCCGCCCGCTCGAGCTTGGCAGTGGAGCGACCTCACCCTCCCCCCCCCTCCTCTTCCTCCTGCTCCTCCCCCTTCTCGTCCCCGTCCTTATCCCCCTCCTCCTCTCCTCCTCCTCCTCCTCCTCCTCCTCCTCCTCCTCCTCCCCCTCCTCCTCCTCCTCCTCCTCCTCCCCTCCTCCTCCTCCTCCTCCTCCTCCTCCTCCTCCTCCTCCTCCTCCTCCTTCTCTTCCTCCGAAACGTTCATGCCTCGCAAACATAATGCAGGGGCCGGGAATGCACCATGGACCTGGAGGGAAACGATTATCCTGACGTTTCTGACTAGGTTCTGTCTAGGCGGCCCCCGTCTGATATCATATTAGAGGATGAGTGTGATATATCAAAGTTTATGAGAAGTAGGGCGAGGACGACGGCATAAGAAAAACGACGTCGAGGAATTGCGTCCCCGGGTAAGTGGGAAACAGACAAGTAGGCAACAGCATGTGAATCCGACCCCTGCAGGCCAGACTTCTGAGAAAGCGGCTGGGTCGCAGAATTTGAATGAGGCGCGCAACCGCAAAATCCCAGCTGGGTTGCCAGACACACCAGCGTAGATTGGACCCGCAGGGGCGGGTTCACAAGTGGTCGCAGCATGATGAGGCGGTGGGGCCTAGGAGGAAGCGGTGTCACAACAAAAGATCGCGGCCAGCTGGGTAGCCAACTGTGACTACGAACAGAGCACCGCGATCCTCCAGCTCGGGTAAATCCCGCGGCCGGAACATATCAACTCATTAGCACAGGCCGACGCGAGCGAACGATCCTACAGCACATCTCGGCTCCGATGCAGAAAGACAAGAGCACACAGAGCACGCGGTGCAGCTAGAGAGACATGGTGTCTTGAAGCGGCGAGCAATGGGAAACAAGCGGGTGCCTCAGGCTGTGGCTCTGAACGGACGGGGCCTAAAAAGTACATTCTTCTTCATCTTCACCTTCGGGCACAGGCAGAAAGGGTGAGCGCGCCCAACTGACATGCGCCGTCCAATCACGCGAGCACCCAGCGCATCGTGCCACAAACATGGTATAGCTTGTGCCGCGTCCACTTGCGTGACTCTGAGGCTACCCTCCAGCATGTTACCATCAGGAACACATGGCGGACTCCAGAATCCCTGAAACCAAAAACGCTGTCATCTCGTGGACAGTCGACTTTTGCTTCCGCCGGCGTCCGCCGAGCTTTCGCCAGCGGAACCCGCGCCGCTTTACTTCCGCTGACCTTCCGCCGCCTTCCGCCCAGGAAGAGATGACAACTCCTTCGATCCTCGAAGGCAAGGCCCTTCCTGGAACGCCCCAAAAGCTGAAACAAAATCGCCTGGCGCGCATCGCCTTGCCACCATGCGCCCCACCGCGCGTGGGAGCCCATGGGCAGGACCCCGTGGACAGTCACGGCCAGACCCACCGTGCGGACCCAATGCTGCACAGAGCAAACAGAACCTCTGTTGGAGCAACTGGTTGTGGGGATCTGGCCACGAATCATGATATGCGGCTCCAGGGCTCAGTAGTAGTAGTAGTAGTAGTAGTAGTAGTAGTAGTAGTAGTAGTAGTAGTAGTAGTAGTAGTAGTAGTAGTAGTAGTAGTAGTAGTAGTAGTAGTAGTAGTAGTAGTAGTAGTAGTAGTAGTAGTAGTAGTAGTAGTAGTAGTAGTAGTAGTAGTAGTAGTAGTAGTAGTAGTAGTAGTAGTAGTAGTAGTAGTAGTAGTCGTAGTAGTAGTAGTAGTAGTAGTAGTAGTAGTAGTAGTAGTAGTAGTAGTAGTAGTAGTAGTAGTAGTAGTAGTAGTAGTAGTAGTAGTAGTAGTAGTAGTAGTAGTCGTAGTAGTAGTAGTAGTAGTAGTAGTAGTAGTAGTAGTGTAGTAGTACGATTAGTAGTAGTAGTCGTCGTCGTCGTCGTTGTCGTTGTCGTCGTCGTCGTCGTCGTCGTCGTCGTCGTAGTACTAGTAGTAGTAGTAGTAGTATTAGTAGTAGTAGTAGTATCGTAGTAGTAGTAGTAGTAGTAGTTAGTAGTAGTAGTAGTAGTAGTAGTAGTAGTAGTAGTAGTAGTAGTAGTAGTAGTAGTAGTAGTAGTAGTAGTCGTAGTAGTAGTCGTAGTAGTAGTAGTAGTAGTAGTAGTAGTAGCAGTAGTAGTAGTATTGGAAGTGGTAGTAGTAGTGGTAGTAGTAGTAGTAGTAGTAGTAGTGGTAGTGGTAGTGGTAGTGGTAGTGGCAGTGGTAGTGGTAGTGGTAGTAGTAGTAGTAGTAGTAGTAGTAGAAGTAGTAGTAGTAGAAGAAGTAGTAGTAGTAGTAGTAGTAGTAGTAGTAGTAGTCGTAGTCGTAGTAGTAGTAGTAGTAGTAGTAGTAGTAGTAGTCGTAATTAGTTCTCGTAGTAGTAGTAGTAGTAGTAGTAGTAGTAGTACAAGTAATGGTAAGGGGAGGAGGATGAGGAGGAGCAAGAGGAGGAGGGAGGAGGGGGATGAGGAGGAGGAGGGGTAGCAACAGCCGTCGTAGTCGCAGTCGTAGTCGTAGTCGCAATAACAGACAAGGGTCGTTGAAATGACAATCGCAGTAGAGTGCTGTGCGACGTGCGCAGTATTGAGGACTCGCGCGTGCGTTTCCTTTCTGAGCTTTACCGCATCGGATGTTTGGGGCAGCGTCGCGTGCGTCCCCGCTGTTGCCACCCGCGAGACCAAACACTGGCTATACTGCACAATATTCTGCTATGACTGCACCCGAACTGCCGCCGACGCCGACGCCAGCGCGGACGCCGCCGACGCCGACGCCGACGACGACGACGACGTCGCCCAAACCGCCAGCGGCGAAGGGGCGGGCAGGGCGACCCAGGATGCTCCTCGGTGGTCCCCGCCGCGGAAGGATACACGTCCGAACGATGCCGAGTCGCAGGCAACCCCCAGAACCAGGGGGGGGAACCTCCCGCCGTGGCCGCGCCTGCGTCCGCGGCGGCGTGCCCGTCGGCCTCCTCGGCCTCCTCCTCGCCGCTCTCCTCCTCCACCTCCTCGCCCTCCTCCTCGTCCTCGTCCTGCGCCGCGGGAGGGGTGCAAGGCGGCGTCCTCCGCAGCACCCGCGGGCGTCCTGCCCTCCAGGGCCCCCCAGCAAGGGGGGCCAGGTGAACGCGGATGCCCTCCCGCCCTGAAAAGACCGGGTCGGAACGCACAGAATCGTTTCGGGGTCGCCCTCAGGATCGCGCAAAGTCGGATGGGGATAAATCGGGAGCTCTCAGATCCGTCGGTTATGACAGATTCGGGGATCTTCTGACTCGGGTCAATCCAGACCCGGGTCAGCAGGAAACCAAACAACTGAAATGCAGGAACAAAAAAACTGCAACGCAGGTCTTCGCAAACCCGGGTCGGCCAATGTGCGCGGCCGCCTCGCGGCCACGAGCGGCTCGCTAACCCGGGTCAGCCAGAAGGGGTCTTCGCAGGATCCTGCAGGCTCCGGTGCCCTGGCTGACCCCCGGTTGCATGGACCCCCGTCTCTGGAGCCCCGAGAGATGCATCGATGCATCGGGCGCCGGGGCCTCCTCAGAATCCTGCAGGAGACTCTGGGAGCGTTCCGGAACGCTCGGGGGCGATGTATCCCGATCCCGGGCCCGAGTTCGCCCTCGGGGGGCGGACAGATCTCTGGGGGTCCCGGCCAAGGCACGACTCCGGAGACGGTTTGACATTCAAGAACGGCAAAGGCACCGATACCGCAGCCTTCCCCCCCTCGTCGCCGCAGCCTGGTCCGCTTCGACATCTTGCTCAGGAAGTACCCTGGGAGAGGCCCGTGGAGTAGCGGTGTGGGTATCGGTTGGTATCCCCCCAGGCTTGGACATACTCTGGCGGTGTGGCGGTGGACGTCCTCCTCTGCTGCCTCCTGCGCCTCCTCCTGCGCCTCGCCCTTGTCGGCGGCGTCATCCCCTTCCTCCTGCTCCTCCTCTTGTGCCTCGCCCTGGTCAACGGCTGCCTCTTCCTGCTCCTCCTCTTGCGGCTCGCCCTTGTCGGCGGCGTACTCCTGCTCTCCTCCCTCGTCTTCGTGGGCGGCTTCCTCTGCATCCTCGCCGGGCAACAGTCGCGGGGGGGGGGGGGCGATGGGGGCGAGGATGGGGAGGCCGTCGAGGCGGACCATGGAAGAGGGATGAGGACGGAGGAGGGGGACGGCGGCAAGTGGGAAAACTCTGCTGGATTATGCTGCTTGTTTGGTGGGCTTGTTTTCCACCACCATAAGTAGGAGGGGGAGGGTCCTCCTCCTCCTCCTCCTCCTCCTCCTCCTCCTCCTCCTCCTCCTCCTCCTCCTCTTCGTCCTCCTCCTCATCCTCCACCTCCTTCCCCCCTGCGACTTATGGTGGTGGTGGTGGTGGTGGTGGTGGTGGTGGTGGAAAACAAGCCCATGACTGTCTACCCACGTAGCTCATCAGTCGCAGCAAGTGGAAAGGGCGAGAAGAAAAGAAATTATATGATGGAAAGGGAGTGAACGCCCCTGCGGGCAGCCGCACAGGCCTCGAACGTGGGTGGGGGCGTGGCCTAGCACAATGCGTCGGGACGAGGAACTGATAGGAGGATCGGGAGGGAAGGAGAGCATGAAGGGCGAAGAATAAGAGGGCGAAACGATCTGGCGACAACGTGTATGGCTTGAGTGACAGAACGACCAGCCGACACCACGCAAACACACGGCCACTCCGAACAGCCCCCCGCCGGTCTGACCGCACGGCCCCTCGGATCCATATGTCAGTATGGAGGAAGGGACAACGTGGAGAGGAAGGAGGAGGAATTATGAAGAGGAGAGGGTTAGGTGAGGAACAGGAGGCGGAAGATGAATGATGAAGAGGAGCCAGAGTACGAGAAGGCTTCCAACACGTCTTGATGTGAGGATGCTTCTCGCCACTTAAGTGGTGTTCGCGCGTGAAATGGGGCTCTAGCTCGTGATTGGTCAACATCGATGGACACTGCATACACTACTCATGGGGCCAACGTTCGGGTGGTAAGGAGGTTGGGGGGATGGATGAGACTTTCGGTCTGTGATTGACGTCGGATCGTATTCGCGATCTATATATATACATTAAAGATGCTGGTATTCATCTTTCGACCTACTTATATATATATATATGTGTGTGGCTTCAATCTACATCAACCGAGCCCCCGCGACCAACAGATCGATCAATCTTCCTATGTGTTGACTTCTGTGGCTCAAAACTAAAACGCTGTTTGCATGCTTGAAACGTTGTTTCTCGTTAGAGCGATCAAAACGCATGAAATCTGCATAACAACTAATTCGCAAGTGCGTCTTCATATTCAAATGCGTGACGTGTTTCTTGCGTTGTCATTTCTCCTCCGCGGGGCATCACTCCTTGGTTGTGTTTTGACTTTCGCGTCGCTGCCTCTCCCTGCTTGATCTTGATGGATACAGCTTGGCACACCGTTTCTCGTGTGCCAAACTGAAAACAGAAAAACGACGCGCACTGAAAACGCCATAAAACTGGTGCGACAAAAGCCTAGGAGGTCCACTAGCCTACTTGGTAGTAGGAGTAATACCGGTAAAAGCAATGGTACCAGTACCAACCGCAGTATAAATCGTTGCTGCAGTCGTAGTGCTGCTGGCAACAATAATTCACTGGCCCAGCGGGCCAGCGGCGTGCTAAAATCTCCGGTCACAGCTAAACTGTCTATGTAGTTCGCGCGCGCGTGGCGGCTGGATGAAAAGTACCCTAGCCGCAGCACGGCCACCCTTGGAACAGATGGTTTTACTCCTGGGTGGGGCCCTCCAGGCCCCCCAGAGCGTTCCAAAAGCGCCCCAAGGGACCTCCAAGAGAGCCCAGAAGGGCCCGAGACGGTCCAAGAGCGCTCCAAGACAACCGAGAGAATCTCTGGATGGCCCAGGACGCCTCCGAAACGCCACAAAAGTGCCCCAAGAAAGCCCTCGGGAATGGCTCTGGGGCCACAATCTATTGACTTCTCTTGGGATTGCAAATAGTTGTTGCGCTCTCGCCTTTCGCGACTGCGGCCCTCCGAAGACACTTCCAGGCGTGCCTGAGGATGACTCAGGAGGGCCTCAATACGGCCCATGTGGCCCCCCAAGAAGAGGGCTCAAGAGGCCCCGCAGAGGGCCCAAAAGGATCAATCCGAACTGTCATCTGGAGCCAGTTTCGGGGGAACTGGGACGGTTCGGGAGCGCCGAGGCGGCGGGGGGTGGTGCGGCGCAGGCGGCACGGGATGAGACGGGGCAGACCAGTGTAATACGAAGTAAGGCTGCGACGACCGATTGAGGTGGATGCTTATGTACCGAGAAGCTGGAAAAAATGGAACATGAAAGTTGAATGAAAGCGGAAGTGGCCAGGGGTGAAAAAAACTCGCGGGGGCTAAAACGAGCCCGAAACAGTTGGGATGAGGTCGCCAAGGCTGGAAAATTGAAGGGAAACTGGCCAGGGCTGGAACGAGTGAGAGGGTTTGCCACAGCTACCTTTTTCGAGCTTCCCTCTGGGCATCGAACCAAGACGCCATGGAAATAAGTCCTGCACGACAGCACTGGGTCAGCATAGAGTCCAGTATGGGGCAGGACACCACTTGACGGGACAGCAAACTGCAGGACGCGAGAGGCCAGAAACATGCCAAGACGGGACGCGACAGGACAAGGCATGCCTCATTCAGACAAACAGACGCCTGACAGACGGACGCACAGACGATCAGACCAGACCCAGATAGGCCAGACAGGGCCACTCCAAACCAGATCTGAGGAAACCAAGAGCTACCGATGCCACCACCCCCTGGATCACTCCCGGGGTGCATTCTGACCAGAAATTCGATGCACATTCTGGCGACCAGGGCCTCCGAGAAGGCCACGAAGCGGCGAAAACCGGGCGAGGACAGCGGTGTGTGCATACCTCTTCCTCCTCTGAAGATCCAAGCACTCCGGCGACCGAACGCAGAAGCTTGCAGGTAGTCGGACGGTAACGAGCCAACTCCGTGCGTCCCGGCTGCACTCTCCGAGGGAGAGCCCGTTGAGACAGCACGGCGGCTCTGGACGAGCGCGGCTCGTGTCCCCCTCCCGGTATTCGTCCTGGCCCGTCTCCCGACGCGGATCCAGCCGTGGCGACGAGAAGCCTCCAGGTGTCGGGGGCTGCTAAGAGCTGCCCCCTGGCCGAAGAGGTGCCCCCAGATGGTCGCTCGACTCTGGAGCCCCATGGCGCCCTCTGGGCATCGAGAGGGGTGCTCTGGAGGCCGTGGGAGCCTCCTTGGACATCCTGGGGGCACCTTGGGGTAGGGGCACTTCTAGCATTAGGTCGAGCATGTCCCCCTACAGGGGGATTTTTGACGAAAAATAAAAGATACTCAACAAAATACCCCCACATGGTCAGAAATAGTAAAAAAATCGTCCCAGACTATTTTCTAAAGTCTTTTTGAATGCTCCCCCTGTAAAGGGACAGGCCCGACTTAAGACAAGCTGCCAGACCACCCTAACCCAACCCGACAACCCCCGAATTTCGGGTTGGGGGGGGGGGTACGGGTTCCACATGTGTTTTCTCAATGTTCCCCGACGCCCCCCACCCCCCCCGCTGGGACTCGGGGGCAGATTTTGAGGCTTTCGGGTGATTCGGTTGGGGTGGTCTGGTGGGCGGCGAAGATGGGAGCAGGAGGCCTCCTGGCACGACAGGGCGCCGGCGCCAGCAAGCCCAGCACTGGCAAGGCCAGCCGCGGCAACGCCCGCGCCAGCGCCAGCAGGGGCACACCCGGCGGCGCTCGCCTGGCGAAAGGGACCCAGCAGGCACGTACACTCGATAAGCGATCTCGCTCTGAGAGATCCACGGGCACGTTTGTCGACGATCCCAGAGCCCCCCAAATTAGGAAGCCCAGGGTTCGCTAGAAACTGGCTCCCCCCTAAAACAACGAAAACCACTCCAGAACCCTCCCGAAACCCTCCGAAAAGACTCCTGGAACCATTCCAGGGGGTTTCCGGAGGGTTTCGGGAGGGTCTCGGGAGGGTTTCGGCTGTTTTGAAAGGAAGCCAGCCCCTAGCGATCCCTGGACTTTCTAACTCCAAAGTGCCCCGAGTCTTCTGCGGGTCTCCAAGGCCAGCGGGGATCAAATATCTCTGTGGAGCCCCTGCTGACAAGCTGGTTCCTTAGTCGATGCGTCTCATACTGCATGTCGCCTGCTTCGGCCCTCCGTGGGGAACTGGTCTCACTTCCCTTGGCTTCCGCGAAACTTCCGCCTGCGGGCGCCCGTGGACCCGCCATCGCTCCACCTCCGCTGGTGGACAGCTTCAGCCAGGAGGGAAGTCAGGCCGTGCCTCCTGCCCCACCCTTCCCCGTCGCGCCCCCAGACGCGTCGGTAGGGCGGATTGGGCGAGTCGCCCCGAGACTTCCTCACCACTCAGGATCCTGAAGCTGGAAATTTGCAGCAGCTTCACGGATGGAGTGCAGGTCGTTTTCCCACTGTGACTATCGGCTTGGCGCCGCGCGCGTTCGTTTTCAAAGTTTGTAATGGTTTCACGTATGCAGGGCGGCTCCTCTTCAATCTGTGGCTCTCTCATGAGAGCCGCGCGCACCCGCCTTTGTTGCGAAAGTCTCAAGTATTCGTATGGTTGGACTCCCAGGAATGGTGTTCTGGCACGATGTCATATTGTCAGGACGCAGAAGTTATGTTGACTAAGGGTGCTGGAGTCCCAAGTTCGAAATTCTGACACGATTTAGGGTTGTCAGGTCGCAACAGTCAAGCTGATCTGCGGAGTTGAAGTCCAGACGGCTGTCTTCTAAGGGGCCACTTCCTACAATGACTCTAACTTTCAGAGACCTGTGATAAGGGAGCTTGGAGGGCGGGTGTATTGTAACACTGTTGATGCGTTTTGTGTTTGCACTGGCTCTCCCTTCTCTTCCTCCCTCCTTCTCATCCTTCCCTGAGGAGTGCCCCTTGGATCATTGGGCCCTCAGGGTTCAAGGCCTGCAGTGGTCGTCCTCAGCACTCACTTGGGCCGGCTCTTTCGCCTTCCCGTCAACAAAAAAAACAAAGGTTCGCGGCCAGCACCCGAGGCGCGTGGCGTTTGTTCAGGCTCTAGGTCAGGAGCAACGGCAGCGATCAGGACCCAAACAGTCCACCCGCACGCCCTCGAAGAGATGATGTGAGTTCTTCGAGGCGAGCTCTTGCGCGAACTCTGGCTGGGAGGCACGAGCTGATGACAAGGAGCGTCAACTACTGCGCTTGGGAGATTATATGATTGCGTCCACGCGCAACTGTTGCGTCCAAGCCGCAAACTTCTACATCCATGCCACAACTGCTGCAAGTTCTATTGCACCCACTCTAGCCCCTCCAGATGTGCGAACACCACTACTACGGCGTAGAGAAATGGGGTGGGGGGCGGCAGCTTTCCTCCGCATTGGTGTGTGGTAATGTGGAATCGCCTATATGGGGGATGGAGAAAAAGGCCCTAAAGGGCCCCTTAGGACTTTTTTTCTGCACGCATCCATGTAAGCCACCCCGCCACAGCCAACCCGTATAAGAAGGACGCGCGGTAAGGATGCAAGGGCCTCGGTCTCCCATGCCGAGGCTCTCCGAGCGGGGCTGGCAATGGAAGAGGGTTAAGGATGGACCGAAAATGACCGAAGAGTCACGGATGCAAGGGCAGGGCATCCTTGGGGAAATCAAAAGATACCAGTACCGCTACTCCCCGGACCTCTCCCCGGGTGCGTTCTGACCAGTATTTCGAAGCGAATCCAGCGGTGGCGACGAGGGCCGCCCAGGAGGCCCAAACAGGGGAAAACATCGGAAGGAGTAATAGTCTGGGTACCTTTCCCTCCTCTGAATCCTTGGGAAGTCGATCGTCCTTACTATGCGGGTTGACTGCACCTCCCGCCGGATCCGCCTCCTCCCCCCGAAGCAGCCCCCCCAGTAGGAGGCGTCGCGCCTCGGGCCGCAGACCCTGCTGCGCTCGGGGTCGCTGCGGCGGCGAGCTCAGCCTGGCACGGGGGCGGCGGGCCCACGGGGAGCAGCCGCGTGGGCGGCGCTCTCTCCTGCGCCTCAGGGGCGATGTGCCCAACGGTGTGCTGACGAGCAAGAGTGGCTACCTACCAGACCACCCCAAGCCAACGCGAAGACCCGAATTTTGGGTTGGGGTGGTACCGGCTTCATATGTGTTTTTGTCTATATTCCTCGGCCCCGCCCCCGACTGGAAATGAAGGGCAAATCGGGGCCTTCGGGTTGGGATGGGGTGGCTTGGTGGGCGGTGAGAGACTGTTTGCCTTAAGTCGACTACACGCAAGAGGGACCCTGGGCAAGAGTGGCCTTTGATGCGCGGCTTGTTGGGGGCCGTGTGGGGGGGGGGGGGGGGGCAAACACAAGCGCGCAAGATGCCACTGCCGCTTCGCGTTCGGCGATCGGGGGACCCCAGTGGGCCCGCACCAAGGGTCACTCTGGCAAAGGTCACTCTTACGTGTAGTCGACGAAGGTCCGGAGATGACCTGGGCTCTGCCCCCCCCCCTTCTCCTTGGAAAACCTGACCTTGTCGGTTGCGCTGGTCCGAAGGGGTGCGCAGTGTTGGCGCGCGGTCACACGCGGGGCTGCCCAGAGCGAAGAGGTCAGGTCATCGGCCGCAACCTCCCCCCCCACCACCGGAGGACCCGAGAGATCGCCGAACAAACAGCAATGGTCTCCAAACCTTCAGGGTGGGCCCTCTCTTGGAGGCCTGGAAATGGGCACCAACACCATCACAGGGGGTTGCCTCAACAGGGGGAAGATGATCCTAGATTTCGGCGTTGGTGGTAACATTTCGGTCACCTTGGAAGCCCGAGTATTACCACCATCGCCGAGATCGGGATCTTCTTCCGTCGGTGGAGGCACACCGCCGATATTGGTGTTGGTGAAGGCCTGCGGTTCTCTGTTCCATGAACACTTATGCTCTGGTTTCGGCGCTTCGGCAGCGGGGCTGGAGGACGTCAGCTGACCACCTCGCCGATCCTCGTGGGGTCCCAACACAGCGTGGTGACATACCGCGCGGTGACCACGGAACCCCAGGATCAAGTCGGGCATGTCCCCCTGCAAGGGGACCTTGGACGAACAATGAGAGACACCCCAAAAAATACCCCCAAATGGCCAAAGACGGCCCAGAAGCCGTCCCCAGCCTTTTTTTCTGCCTTCTTTTGAACATTCTCCCCGCAGAGGGGCACGTCGTAGTCACGTCAAAGAGAAGCCCTTTCCTTGTGTCCCATCCCCAGCGGTGTGCGGGGGGGTGTCCTGGAGGGGGGGAAGGGGGAGGGGGGGGGGGGGGGGGCAAATTCGCATCGCCTCTGGGGATCCTCCTCTCCCACGCCGGTCCTTCTCTGGCGCGCCGGTCCTCCTCGGGTCCTCCTCCCCAGGTGGGGAGGAGTCCCAGGAGGGGGGGGGAGTCAGATAGGCATGCGTCCCTGAGGGTCCTCCTCCCCCTCCCTTCCCCTCTCCCACGCCGGGGGGAGTCTTTTTCCTCCTCCTCCTCCTCCTCCTTTTCCCCCTCCTCCGCAAAACGAGAGGTGTGGTCAAGGAAGGTGCTGAGACACGCTCAGAATGCACGTGTACAAAGTAGCATCACTTGGTCAACTGTTGCTGCCATTCGGGCTGCTACCTGGAGAAGAGCAGCGCGGCAGTACAGCCAGACACGCTGATTTGTTATATTTGCTGATGTGCGTGCGCACAGCGCTGCATATTAGCATTATTGCTACGATTCGCATTCTCATTTGCACTCCTGTTTTTTTTGTTTGACTATTATTATGTTTTATCGATGTGATTAGTACTACTATAATTATTGTTGTTGTTCACCTTTCGCGCTTCCTTTAGTAACTGACGGCCCTGGATGCCTCCAACACGGCCTCAAGGCGGCCCAAGAGGCACACGAACCCTCCGCGACGGCCCCAAGACAGGCCAAGATGCCCCCTCGACGACCCATGACGGCACGAAGAGGGCCTCAATCTTGGGGGTAGCTTCGTGGGGGGGGGGGGGGCGATCAACTGGGGGGGGGGGGTCGGGCCCTCAAGGCCCCCCTTTCGGCCCGAAGGAGCCGCCTTCAGTGTCCCTGACGGGCCCGTTCTCTGCAGCCCTCGCTGCCCCCTTTACATGTCGCCCCCGATGACCCTGACCTTCCAGGAGGACAAAGCATGGAAATAGGACCAGGACTCTGACACCGAAATTCCTGTCGAGGTTTTAGGCAGTCCAGACAGCGACCACCGCCTGGGAACCGACGTCCTTGCACGCCGGCGAGCGTTGGCTATAGGCTATGGACATGTCTGGGCCCCAGGGGGCCCGAATGTATCCATATCCACAGCCTGCCAAGGTCCCGATGATCGATCCCCCAGGCGGTGGTTATGCATAAATCCCCGCCCTGGACCATTACCTCAGACGTGACGCAACTGAGCCCGACACCCCTTCGCCAAGGCTCGCATGCCCGCCCCGATGACACGCTCAGAATGCACGTGTGCAAAGTAGCATCACTTGGTCAACTGTTGCTGCCATTCGGGCAAGTACCTGGAGAGGAGCAGCGCGGCAGTACAGCCGAACACGCTGATTTGCTATATTTGCTTTATGTGCGTGCGCACACGGCTGTATATTAACATTATTGTTTTGATTCGCATTATCCTTTGCACTCCTATTAATTATTGTTTAACTAGTATTATGCTTGATTGATATTATTAGTATTACTATCAATATAATTGTCGCTCACCTGTTGCGCTTCCTTCAGCAGCTAACGGCCCTGGATGCCTCCAACACGGCCTCAAGGCGGCCCAAGAGGTCCCTGACATGGCACACGAACCCTCCGCGACGGCCCCAAGACAGGCCAAGATGCCCCCTCGACGACCCATGACGGCACGAAGAGGGCCTCAATCTTGGGGGTAGCTTCGTGGGGGGGGGGGGGGGGGCGATCAACTGGGGGGGGGGGGGGGGGTCGGGCCCTCAAGGCCCCCCTTTCGGCCCGAAGGAGCCGCCTTCAGTGTCCCTGACGGGCCCGCTCTCTGCAGCCCTCGCTGCCCCCTTTACATGTCGCCCCCGATGACCCTGACCTTCCAGGAGGACAAAGCATGGAAATAGGACCAGGACTCTGACACCGAAATTCCTGTCGAGGTTTTAGGCAGTCCAGACAGCGACCACCGCCTGGGAACCGACGTCCTTGCACGCCGGCGAGCGTTGGCTATAGGCTATGGACATGTCTGGGCCCCAGGGGGCCCGAATGTATCCATATCCACAGCCTACCAAGGTCCCGATGATCGATCCCCCAGGCGGTGGTTATGCATAAATCCCCGCCCTGGACCATTACCTCAGACGTGACGCAACTGAGCCCGACACCCCTTCGCCAAGGCTCGCATGCCCGCCCCGATGACAGCCAGCCCTCCTCCCATGGTGTCGCTGCCATCGGTGGTGCAGGGCGGACCGCCCATAAGACGCGGCCGAGGCTGCACCGCAACTCGGCAGAGCGAAGCGGAGGCGGCAGGAGCCTCTCGTCGACCGCGAAGTCCGTCTGCCCCAGGCATGCCGCCTCGTGCAGTCGCTGTTTTCGCTGCCGGCGGAGGGGAGGGGAGGGGGAGCGGACACAACTCGGCGGCGTGCCGAGGAGGCAAGCGAGCGTATGGGGCACGCAGCAGGCCTGCTCGGAAGGCGGCGGGGCAGCTCGGAAGCCCCCGGGCAATCCGAGGAGCCATCTGTGGATACGGGGACAACCTGACACAGCTTCTCGGAGGGCCGGAGGCCTGCTGGGCCTCCTAGGGAGGCCCGCCCCCTCTGCCTTCCCCCCATGGGCGCGCCGCCGAACGGCAGGACAACGAGCTCTGCGACGCAGTCGTGAATGGAAGGGAAGAGCTGCATAAACACAATCTCTGGGAGCCCCGTTGGCTTGTGTTTATGCAGTTCCCTGGCCTCCCAGAAAGCTGGAAAACAGCCCTCCAGACCTACAAGCCTATCCGGACTGCCTAAGACCTCGTCAAGAAATCAGGCGTCAAAGGCCTGGTGCTGCCGTTTAGCCCTCCTGGAAGGTCAGGGCTTGTCCTTCTTTGAGTGGAGTCACTCGGGAGGGGGAGGCGGAAGGTTCAGCGGCGGCGGCGCCCCGAGGGGGCGAGGGCGGGGAGTTGAGAGTTCTTCGGGAACTCGCGGGGGCCTCCCACGCCACCTCGCTGGTTCTCGCGAGTCGACGCTCGTCGCCCATCGACGCCGGATCGACGCTGATCCACGCCAACTCGGCGCCCATCGACGCGAGATCGGCGCCTGCTCGTCGATTCTCCAGACGCTCATCGGCGCTTATTGCGTTGAATGAGAAGCGTTATTGGAGGTACGCCGAATGTCCGACGAAGGTACGCCCGTCAACACCTGCGAAAGTACCCCGAACGCACGCAGAAGGTAGACAGGAGCGGGGGGGGGGAAGAGGACAACCCCCCCCAATCCCCCCGCTCCTCCAGACCCTCGCTTCCCCGCGGGCCCAGAAACCGGGCCACACGCGACAGACCCAACAACGAACGCATTACGGCGGGACCACGCTCACTGGGCCGCGAGGACTCGTAGATCGCGCTGCGCCCGCGCTTCCTGGGCCGCGATCCCTCGTGAATGCGCTGCCTCCGCACTCCGACCACGCGCGCGCGCATGGCCTTCCGATACGGACAGCGTCCAGTTCGAGCTCCGACTGTGCATCCTGTTTTTTCGCCCGCAACGCAGCAAAAGCGGGAAGCGAACTGCCGGACGCAAACACATCGCGGACGACGGCCAGATCAGAATCTTTCGTCTGCCATGTCGGCGCGCTTCACAAGGACAACTCGTGTTCAACTGAAGATCTAGACAGACACACACACTGACAGTAATTCCGGGTGGAGAACTAAGCATGGTCGATGCAACAATGCACTGGACACTGAGGGCACCCGACGGTGTGGCAAGGATCAGCGATGGGGTCGGACAGAAGGCTTGCACCAGCGGTAGCAATTGAGATCGGGCAAGACGACTAGGGAAATAGGCGGGAAGCAGAGCGTGCAAATATGAAATGTGTGCGAGACTGCTGAAAGTACTCGCAACGGCAGCGCTGCTGACGTGGGCCTCCAAGTACACCATCGATGGCAGGTTGAGTAGCCAGTTGATGTCTGCAACTGGCGCAGTCGCGACGAGAGGAGGCAGCAGGCAGCCATGATCACCTCGCCAAACCTCCAGCCGACCCGATTCGTCCTGAGATCGGGACCGCCCTCGTTCGACCCACTTCTACCGTCGGGCTGCTTTCCGATCGTGGCTCTGCAGGTCCCCATCGTGCCTCCCGGTGCTGCTGCTCCTCCTCTTCCTCCTCCTCCTCCTCCTCCTCCTCCTCATCTGGCCTCCTGGTCCTACATGGTGGTCTTGCCTCTCGATTTAGATGTCCAGCGCTTTTCGGTAGCGCCTCCCGATCGGGTCAAGACACCAAGCGATACCCCTGATGTTCCTGTCTATCACGGGCCCAACCTCCTCCACATCCTCCTCTGCATTGCAACCTCGATTTCTCCTCGTCAACAATCCTCTACTCATCTGCTGGTGGTGCTGATCCTCCTCCTCCTTCTCCTCCTCCTCCTTCTCCTCCTCCTCATCCTCCTTCTCGTGCTCCTCCGCGGGGCCCCCACGCTTGAGAGCGCAGGTCATCGCGCGGGCTCTGCGGCGGCGTGCCTTTGCAACGTCGTCTGGCGTTGCCCCTCACTCCTGCTCTTCCCCCCCCCCACCACATCAACTGCCTTTCGCCCGCCCTGTAGGTTGTCCCCGCCCAGCGCCCCGTTCCGGCCCCCCGCGGAGCCGGTCCTGCGCGCCCGCCCCACCGAGCGGGAGGGGGCGACCCCGGCTCTGCCCTGGTTCGTCCCCGCTCGCAGGCCCTCCTCCCGCCCCTCGTGCTCTCGCCTCCTCCTCGTGCTGACGCTGCTTCTCTCCGTCCCCCTCCTCCACGCGTTCCCACCTCGATCCTGCCCCGCCTCCTTCTCGTACTTCCTGCCTTCTGTTTAGAGGCATCGGAGAGGGTCGAGCGAGACCGCCAGACAAGATGATCGTTCGCTCCCCCTTCCTCTGTCCTGGATATTCATGTTTGTAACTGTTTCGCGAGAAGATGAAACGTATCAACATGTTCTCCAACACCTACTCACGCAACCAACTTTAAGCACATTCCAAAAGGTTCCGTGCACTACACACGCCTGGCGCGTGTCACACCAGGCCCAAGCTGAGCCAGCGAAGCGGCAGCGCATTGAATCTCTGCCGAACACGACAATCGCCACATAATGGACCCTGCGGACAGGAAGAGACGCGACGAGAAAAACATCACTGCGACTGGACAAACATGAGAATCCCCGGCATATCTCAAGTTCATAAAACGACTGCCGGACCACCCTGGACCCGTAAATCACTTCGCCGTCCCTCATCGGAAAGATGCCCACGGCACGAGGGAAAGCAGATCAGGTATAATATCACCAGAAGCGGCATACCCTCCTCCCTCTTCCTGAATGTGCTCTTCGAAGGGACTACGCCGCCGTAGCTCAGGCCGTCGTCAGCCTCGCACCAAGCCAAACCATCAACACGCCGTAGACACTGACCAACAGGAGTCTCCGACGATATGCTTGCCTCCTCCATGTTTGAGCACCACTGGAACTCCAATTGGGTCTGGGTCTGTGAGTCGGATCTCGCTTGCTGGAGAAACGTACAGTCGGCCCAGATTAGGTCGACCCTGCCAAATCAAGGGTGCCCATGTGTCCTGTGTCTCGCGACCCATGCTTCCTACATTCCTGTGACGATGTGGACCTCGGAAGGGTCCTTGTGTCCTCTCGCGTGTCCTGTCCAATCAAGTCCGACTGTATCCACCACGATCGTGGTGTCCAGGACGATGGGGCCACTCGGGAGGCATTGGCACCGCATGCCTCCCAACGGTCGTCTGCCTACTGCTGCCGCGGTGGCATTGCCCTTGCCGACAGAGCACCCTCACGCGCTTCCAAGCCTGCTCCACTGCTGGCGCCTGGGGGCCCGTCCGCTGCTCCTCCGCAGGGAAACTCCCCAGACCACCACTCACGAGCCTGGGGTCTTGCCCCAGCGCCGGCGTGCCGAGTCCGCGCCCGCCCGCCTGCTTCGTCCCGCTGACCCTGGCCTCCCACCTGCGCGTTCGCAATCGTCTGCTCGCGTCGCTCGCCCCGTCGCCCTCTCCGTCGCCGCGCAGCACCATCGGGCTGGGCGAAAGGGAGGGATAGCAAAGGGGGGGTTTGAGAATCAGCTCACGGAGCTGATTTTCCCGGCGCCTCCCGGCGCCGGGAGGCGGCCATGTATCGAGGAATGGGCCCTTCGGTGTGGCCGAAACCAGCTGCATGCAGCAGATTTCGTAACCCCCCCTTTCCCAATCCCCCCCTTTCGTCCGGCCCGACACCAGGCGGTGATTCGGGAAGACAGGCTGGAGGACGTGCGGGATCGTACATCCTGCTCCGAGGCTGGAGCGAGAAGCTGCCGCCCTCGCGAATCCCGTGCAAATCGGCTCGGGGCGAGCGAGCGGGCGTCGTTGAGCTCGCCTTTCGTTTTTCCTTCCTGTCGGGTGGCAGTGGGGGCGGGCGGGTCAGCATCGTTCTTCGATCGATGATGCATCGCCGGTAGATCGCCGACAGACTCTCGATGGCGAGTCCGCACGTTCCTGGGGTGGGTGGGCCATCGGGCTCCTGTCGGCGATTTGGCTCGACGCATCACTCCCCGAGACACCCCCCCCAGTATTGCCCCTGAGGCTGAGAGGAGCTGGCAGGGGGAGGGGTGGAGGGCCCAGGGAAGGCCAGAGCACAGGGCCTGCCCCGGGTGGCCGCAGACAGCGAAGGCAATTCGGGGACTCCTTCCCTCAACGCACCTTCCCTGAGAGGAACAGGCGACCCCAGAAGCACAGCTGTTCCGAGGTCCGCACGGACCTTCGAGACATCACGCGCACGCCGTGTCTTCTTTCTCGATTCTCCTCACGTTGACGCGTTGAGGACTGCCCCCGCACTTTGTAGAGGAAGAGAAAACAGCATAAACATAACCTTTCGACGGTCCGCGCAGATTTCTTGGATCTTAGCTGGACCCCCTCCCTGGCGCGCGGAGCGCGCCAGGGGCGGCGCTGGAGCCGCCGCCAGGGCGCCCCAAGGCAGATCGAAGGAACCCGTGCGGAATGCCGAAAGTCTATCTTTCTGCCGCCTTTTCGCCTACGAGACTCTCCCCGCGCCGACACGCCGAGGGCTGCCCCCCGCACTCTGGGCGCCTCCGCGGGCCCCGGCTGCTCGGCGCTGTCCCCTCCTGCGGCTACACGTAGGACCTTTGGCGCGCGGTTTCACGAGGGACGCGGGGGGGCCAAACCCGGGCGCGCGAGCCGCTCGGGCGCGCAAGCCGCTGCCACCGCTTGTCGCGCTCAGCGATCGGGGGAGCCGGCTGGGCCCGCACCGAGAGCCACTCCGGCGAAGGGTCGCCTCTTACGTGCAATTAGTCGACTCCTGTGAGGGTCGACCTTTTTCACGTCCGGCTGGCTCCCGCCGGCCTCCCGCCGGCGGGCCACGGCGGCCTGCCCTCGAGGAGGAGGAGGAGGGGGAGAGAGAAGTAATGAGGAGGAGGAGGAGGAGGAGGAAGAGGAGGAGGAGGAGGAGCAGGACCAGGAGAAGGACGAGGAGGAGGAGGAGGAGGAGGAGGAGCAGGACCAGGACCAGGAGCAGGACCAGGAGGAGGAGGAGGAGGAGGCAGCTCCTCGACCTTCGCGTCCGCCGGCCCCCTCCGCGAGCGCGTTCTGCCCACCCATCGCCTCCTCGGCGGCGGGGAAGCCCCTGCTGGAGCGCCCCGGCCGGCCGCAGTCCACGCGGGGGGGGATGCTGAGGAGGAGGAGGGGGAGGAGGAGGAGGACGAGGAGGAGGAGGTAGGAGGAGGAAAAGGAGGAGGAGGAGGAGGAGGAGGTGGTGGAGGAGGAGGAGGAGGAGGAGGAGGAGAACACATAAGACAAAGATCTCCGATCCATGTCTGCGCAACGTCAGAAAGGAGGAGAACAAGCAGAGGAGGAAGAGGAGGAGGAGGAGAAGGAGGAGGAGGAGGAGGGGGAGGAGGAGGACAAGCGAAGAGCGATCGCGCCACAGCTGACATCCTACAGAGCCCTCCCGCCCACCCCGCTCTCTTGCGCCATCCGCCGGCTGGAGTGTCCCCGAGGACCTTGCTCTTCCAAAGGGCAGCTGCGGGACGAGCAGGAGGAGCAGGAGGACTCTTCTCCATCGCCACCCGGCTGCACTCATCTCCTGCTCCCATTCTTCCCGGGCGTCGCCTACTGGGGGGGCAACAAGCGGGGGGTGCAGAAGGGCGCACCTTCCGTGCACGTTTCGGGGTCCCCGTGGGCCCTTTGAGGGCCCCATTTGCCTGCAACCTTCGATCCCCCCCACTCACCGCCCCGCTCCCACTTACGACATTAGGAGGCAACTACTGGGAGGTTTTCGTCGGAAAGATTAAGCAAGATTAAGCCCCATTTGGGAGCTATTACGCCGGAGTGGGCCTCGGATTAAGTGGGATTGAGCCGGATTAAGCGGGATAAAGCGGGATTAAGCCGGACTTAGGACCAGTGCAAAATCAGAATTTGACCCCTCAGGAATTGCATCCGAAACGACATGAACGCCCGACCCTCCCTGCATCAACGGAGAGCGCTGGCTTTGGTCCGGGGGGGGGGGGGCGGCCGCCGGCCTGTGAGCGACGCCATGGGCCCCCCCCCCTTGGCGTCGAGGTAGGCGAAGGCGCGATCCGCCTCGCGCCACTTGCTCCGCGTCCTCCTCCTGATCCTCCTGAGCCTCTTTTCACTGCTCATCCTCGTCGTCGCCATCCTCATCCTCCGCGTTGGCTGGATCCTACTGATCCTACTGATCCTACTCGAGTGATGCCTCGTTGACATCATCCTCGTCGATTGTCGTTCTCCTGCTCATCCTCGCTGTCGTCGTCGTCGTCCTCCTCCTCGTCCTCCACCTTCTCGGTGTCATCCACCACCTCCATCTCCACCTCGTCCCCCTCCTGGATGCAGCGGCGGCTTGCTGCACTCACGAATGTCATCGCAGCTGTCGGCAGATAGCGCAGGCAGCCCTGGCATGACGAACGTATTGCGTAAGAACGTAAGAGAGAGAGAGAGGGAGAAAGAGGGAGAGAGATGAAGGAAGAGGAAGAAAGCAACACTGTAATACCGATAGGACCACCCTACGGGTGATACGGAGGTTGTGGGGGAACGGTAAGGCGGTCGATGTGCGATAGATCGATGGAGCACCTGCCCATCCATCGATCGACCTATATATCGGAATGTCTATTCAGGGCACCCACATATATATGTATATATATATACCATATATACATAAAATACATACAATTATAGATAAGGTCTGTATATACACATATATATACACAAATGTGTGTGTATCCATCTGCGCGAGTAGATATATCAAGGTAGCACCATAACAACATGTATATACATATCTGCAAAATATGTCTATCAATCAATGGGACGGTCTATACATATATCTGTCTATGATTAAATCAAACTACCAACCTAATGATAGATCAATGTATCAATTTATAGATACATAAATTTCTACACATGTATGTTTCACCATCTATATATCAACATACCCATACATCGACCGAACACTCTCTCTATGTATAATTATAACTGTTCATAGTCAGCGGTCTCTCAATATAACAATCCAGTCATCTATGCACACACATATAAATAAACATATATATATATATATATCAATCTATGCACATCTATGAATTATCGAGAAAAACAAGACACACATCCGGACAACCATCGTGACAGCAATCGGGACAACCACGACGACTACCACCAGGACAACCATCGGGACAACCATCGGGACAACCATCGGGACAACCATCGGGACAACCATCGGGACAACCATCGGGACAACCATCGGGGCAACCATCGGGGCAACCATCGGGGCAACCATCGGGGCAACCATTGGAGCAAACATCGGGGCGACCATCGGGACAACCATCGGGGCAACAATCGGGACAACCATCGGGACAACCATCGGGACAACCATCGAGACAACCATCGGGGCAACCATCGGGGCAACCATCGGGACAACCATCGGGACAACCATCGGGACAACCATCGGGGCAACCATCGGGGCAACAATCGGGACAACCATCGGGACAACCATCGGGACAACCATCGGGACAACCATCGGGGCAACAATCGGGACAACCATCGGGACAACCATCGGAAGAACCATCGGGACAACCATCGGGGCAACCATCGGGACAAACAGCGGGACAACCGACAGGACAACCATTGGGGCAACCTGGGAGCCACGGCCAGCCGACGGGGGAGGGCGTCCCTTTTCGCAATAGATGGCCCCAACCAGTGCAAGAACTCGAGCAGCTTCGCCTCGCCCGCACGCACGACACGAACCGAAACCGAAACCAATTTCCCGGTTGGGGTCACTTCCGTTCACACCCCTCAACCTCCGATTTAGCTTTCGCGCATGCCTGCCCAGACGTATTTTGTAAATAGGCGGCGGGAGCGATGATGTATCACTGAAGCTCTGATCATTCGATCATAATGCCAATGCGACTAGATTCTGACTCTTCGGTCGGTCGGTGGCATTACGGGATTCATACATGCGGTTGCCCCCTTTTGGAATTCTACGAAGTTCCGATATTATCGTGTTTGCCAAGGACTGGATCGTCGAAGAGCCTACTATACCATGTGTGGTTCATCGCGCGTCGACTGGCTTACGAAATCGAGCACACCAACGCCACGAGCCCACCAAATTATCAACTACCGCTGGAGGATCCACCAAGCCTCCGAGAAGAGCGCGGCGAAACCGCGCTTGACGAAAAAACAGCTTCGACGCACTTTCGTGTCTAGCCGGCCAGCTAGCAAATGACTTCATCGGCTCGTTGCTTGCCTCGGCCCGTCTTGACGGCCTTGGCAACATAAAGCGAGCAGACCTTGACGAACCTGGCGAAACTGAGGTATAACATCTTCTAAAGAGAACGACCCTGGGGTATTGTTGACGCGTTCGCTCGTCCTCGGCGCTTGCTGTGTGGTTTGATCACGGTTCTCCCGCATGCAATCTGCAACGACAAGCTATCCGAAGCGTCCGTCTTGGGTTCACTCGTTTTCATTCGAAGATCAACAAATGGCAGAAACAGAAGCTTTGGGAGGTCCGCGCCGATCTCTTGGATCGGCGCTGGGTCCCCCTCCCTGGAGCGCGGAACGCGCCAAGGGCGGAGCCGGAGGCGCCGTCAGATGGGTGGCGGAGCCGGAGGCGCCGCCAGATGGGTCCCAACGCCGATCCAAGAAATCCGCGCGGACCGTAAAGAAGTCATGCTCATGCAGAATTTCCCCCCATCGAAGTTTCCAACGACGAGAAACTGTGGACACCAAAAGATGTGGATACCACCACTCCGCGAAGAAACTCCCTGGGGGAATCCAGCCGTTGCCCAGAGAGCCTCCAAGGAGGCTAAAAAAGTAGGGAATGACAGAACAATAAGAATATCGGTGCCTTTTCGTCCTGTGATTGTTCCTTCCGCGTGCAATTTGTAACGACTGGCTTTCTCGAAGCGCCCATCTTCGTCTCGTGGTTTCCTCATGAGCGCGGTAGACGCAGCCCCCGAAGAAAATCCCCGAGCGCCAGCTCGAGAGAGAAGGCCAATCGTGCCGACATGCGTCCAAACCGCTCGACCCAGAATGGCCTCGCACACAAAACCTTGAGCGGTCACCGATCGGCTCGGTCACCGCGACGACACGATGAGACCTGAGAGCTCTCAAGCTGTGATTGCGCATGCTTTGTCCGCCTGGCTCTGGGCCGTGCCTGGTGCGTTCTAGATCCGAGGCTCGGTGGCTACCGTTCGCTCAGCACACGCACGCAATACATGCATGCACACGCGCACACCAGCAGCTGCCCGTGCAAACACCCAGGCATCGCGCAGCGGAGACCCGAGCTGACGGAGCGCACGGGCACCAGCCCGTGCATCCAGCCTCGCAGAGCGCCCAGTGCGAACACCCCTGGGCACGGAGCGCCGGGACCGCCCAGCGGCCTCGTGCCCGCGGAGCACGGCTGCGCCGTGTGCGCACACCACTCCTCGCGGAAAGGTCGATCGATCGGTTGATTCGTTCATTCACTTGAGCCTCCCATGTCATCCTGCTGGCCCTTGCAAGTCGACGCTGACCGGCGGCAGCAGACGCCAGTGGACGTTCAGCGCTGATCGATGCTAAACCGACGCTGGTCGACACTGAATCAGTGTATGTGCGTCGACTGCATGACGCCAGCGTGCGCCAATGCACTCTAGATCCGGCATTCCGAGGACATGCAGGGCTCCTAGAAGGTGCTGCCGAAGTCGATCGAGCCATTCATAAATTGTTTGGGCAGTCGGTTCACCGAATCAAGAGATGGATGGTCTTGATAGTCGGTTCGTTCGAAGGGTCGTTAGCAGATGCGCTCGGCCGGGACGGACACGATGCCAGCCCCGTTCTCGAGGATCCCCCAAGAACAGGACTGGGCGCTGCCGCTTTCGCCCCAAGGTTCGCGTAGCTGCCCCTTTGTACGCGCGATTTTCTCAAACGCGTAGGCCACCGAAAGCAACGGTCACGAATAAGGCGTGGAAACTCTCTGGACACCCACTAGGCCGTCACCGCGACCAGCTCTTACGGACCGTCACCGACAATCGCTGGATCACAAGGAGGGACGAGACGGACGAGAAGGACAGCACAAGACGAGAGAGGAAGAGGGAGAGAGAGAGAGAGAGAGCGCGCGAAACCAGTGACACGTCGCCGAGGGACAGGCAGCGCAACGTCTGCAACGTGAAACAGAAAATGGTCAGGCATTCAAGGAGTACCATATGAGCCGACTTGACCTAGCCAGACACGCGAAACGAAGCGTGGCCATGCAGCTTGCACAGAACACGACCTGTGCAAACTAGTGGGCAATACATGTTTGGTAATCGAGCGGGCAACAAACTCACGCACAACTTACGAGGGGCTGTGAGGAAAGAATCGGGAGGCGAAGAGCCACTTTTATTTGACGCGCAGGCGACCCTTCCCATGCGTAACCAGATCTGATGTCGCAGCGCTATGAGACCCCCCAGCGACTCGTCCCGAGGGCTGCGCAAACGCACCGCTCCGTGCAATCAGTTAAGAGCTGCCGTGCAGCAGCACAAGACAAGACCCAAGAACGCAAGCCTACACACGAATCGACCCTGAGACGGAGCAGTGCCGGCCAAACAAGCGCCCATAATCCCAGCGGCGGCCCCAAATAATGTGACCCACCGACCCACCCCCCAGCAAGCCCGATCCCGCAGAGAACCGCGGATCAAGACAACTACCCTCGAAATGCTAAACAAAATACTCGAAAAGTAGTCCCCCGACGATTTTTGTGGACTGTTAAGAGCAGAGGGACAGGCCCGATTTACAAAGATTGGTCCCCGGACCTCTCTGCTCCCGGGCATGTCCCCCTACAGGGGGATTTGGGGCGAAAACTATGACAAAAAACCGTAAAACAACTACCCTCGAAATGCTACAACAAATACTCGAAAAATAGTCCCCCGACGATGTTTGTTGACTATTCGGAACATCCCTCCCGGAGAGGGACAGGCCCGACTTAAACATAAAACAGGGCTAGGATCGTGATAAATCGCTCCAGAGCGTTCCGGAGCGCTCCCAGAGCGTTCCGGAACGCTCTGGAGCGGCCGCGGCGCCCAATACGTCCTCCAAACCCGCCGATTCTCAGAGATTTC